AGACACAGAGAGCCTTTCTGTGTGCAGCAACCTTTTGTGGACTTGAAGTTGTAAAAGATGTTGCAAGCTTTTTCTCCATTCCAAAAACTCTTCAAAGTCAGTCTTTGATCAAATGTGACTTCTGACAGTTCTTGCCTGCATGTTTCATGCACAGGTAGACATTATTTATCATTCAAACCATTAATAAATGTTTTAAAGGCATTAGACTGAGGCAGACCTTGAAAATACCAACTCAGTATCGGGTTTGAATTTATTAACTGTTACTTGCTTATCTTTTTAAATGTGGCTTTCCAGCAACTTGCATGCACTCCTTTCCCTCTGCCCCCCCCGGTGATTTGATCAAAATCTTGCCTACTGAGAAATGCTTTCTATAAGGCAAACTCCAACAGTTGAGATGTATGCTTTTTCCATTATTCACAAGAATGGGTAGAATATATGTTGAAAAACATTAAATGGGCTTGATAGGTCTTGGTCTTGGCTAATCTAGGCCTTCTGTTGCTTAATATTTTATTGTCTTTTAAATATTTACAAATGGACTGAGTCTTTTTTGTAGAGTTGAAGGTAGACTGACTTGCGTATGCGTCTGCAGCTCGCTTTTTCCTATTTCTTAAAAATCACACTTGCCCAGGATTTTGGAACTTGCCCGTTTTCCATCACTTCTCAGAATCACTGATAGTTCTGATTGTTGCTGCAGCCAATTCATTATTGAATACACTGCAATGATGTTTTTTAATTAGCTCAGTCTGATGAGTTTTGTCACTAATTCTTACTCTGCTCTTACTCATACTGCTTTCCTTGTTAGAAAAGACAAAATGCAAATAGGCTCTTCTGTGTGTCATCTCGCAGTGTCTCTACTGAGTACTTGCTTATTTCTGTCTCTAGTATTCCTCTTGGTAAGGAAGTGGTTATGGGATGCTTGCTTTTCTCTTATGTCTCATGCTAGTGGTACTCACTTTGTGCCTTGTTCTTTCTTTTGAAAGTTTCCAAACACAATGAATGCTTCTTTTTACAAATACAGACAGTAAATTGTGTAATTTGAAAATATTAGGCTTCTCTTAAATCTTTTGATGTTTCTGAGTAGAGTCAGTATTAGTGGAGTTTATCTTAATGTATTTTTCTTTTATAAATGACAGTGGATTAAGGTCATCCTAGACATTAGATTGCACTTTGACTTTGGTATGGTAGGTAGCCTTTAAATGTTTAAGTTGTATATTCAACATACAGTATTTGCTGCTGCCAGTAAAGCTCTTGGAATAATATTGAATCAGCCATAATGTGATATATGTTGTGTGACATTACCACTTCTAAGCCCTTAGCCTTTGCTGTTTTGTCTCCTTTTCATGAATGTAATGCCTTATATAAACCTGAAATCACCCTTTACTTAGACCTTGGCAAACAATGTTCTTCGGTGAAGGCAAAGAACAAAAAAGCATTTGGCTCAAAGAACTGACAAGGAATATAATTCTGTAAGTGGAGATAACTAGAAAAATTTATTTACCTAGAATGTCATGTGTTCACAGATTAAAAATTAAAGAAAAAAAAGCACCGTGCACCACAAAGCACGTGTGCAAAAAGAGCTACAGTTTTCTCCTGCTGATCATCTTACAGTTGTTCCAGTGAAAGGGCCAGTGTGTTCTGTGTGGAACAATGGAGCTCCTTCTGGAAATAAAAGCTAGTTACAAAAGTTCAGGGGAAAAAAATAAGATCTGAGGATTCCATGTAGAAAAAGGGATGTAAAGCATTTCTCTTTAAAAAGTTAATATTGCATATATCGGTCAAAGTTAAAGTTTCAATAAGCTCCTGAGAATTTCCAGAAGACCTCCAGGGCTCTGGTGAGACTGAAGAGTTCTGTGCAGATGGGGAGACAGTTATGTAGCTAGAATCAGTTTTGTTGATGAAAAAATGAATCAGGTCTTTCAAAAAGAAAAATACTTAAGTGATGACTTTCTAAGCTATTAGGTGTGTAAAACTATGTTTTCAGCTAAAAATATTTTGGAGACTTTTTATAAAGAGCATAACCTTGACTCTTTTGCAGTAGTAGTGCAATCCAAGAGAGGGAGATGGGTACCTTTTCAAAATACTGTGCAGAAGATGACCATAATTTTGTTTAATATATAAAGCTGCTGAAGTGTTGCCATTTCCTTACACATACAATCTCAACTATATTTAAAAGCATTTAACATGTTTTTCATCTGTGCACAAATGAGAGGATGGGTTTGTAGGTATCCACTGCTTTGTATTTCTGGCCCCAAGACTGTAGCTTCTCTGTAAACAACTGGATAATTATTCATTCTTTTTATTTAGGTATCAGGGAATGCAGTAGGCTACAGGGTCACCCTACTAATATTTACTGAATCTACCTGAAGAAATCATAATCTAAGAGGATCTGATATGTGGAAGATAAGGAGGAGTCCTTCAAAGTCCTTCAGTCCTTCAAAGGAAAAGGAGGCCCTGATAAGTTTGATTATCAAAGAAGCATTCTCATTCAGTTTTAATTATGGAAGAAAAGCCTGGGCTTCTGGGGAGCAGCAATTCAAAAGCTGCAACAAACAGTAATTCCCCTTTTCCATAATTACATGATTACACAAGTCAGTGTCAAAACCTGGTATTTACTTTCTATCAAAAAATCTAAATATGCCACTGATTTAAAACTCAGATTTGTATGTTTCACAGGATCAGGAGAGAATACTTGATCCTAAAGGATGTAGAGTTTTGATGTGTTCTTGGAGTTGGAGGGTTGGTTGTGTGATTTTTTGTTTGTTTGAAATCAACCCCAGGGGTACAGCTCTAGTGATGGCTTCCAGCTGGACTTAGCACTACTGATCACAACCCTTTGAGTGCAACAGTTCAGCCAATTTTCAGTCCACCTACTTATGTAGTCCATATTTCATCAGTTTCTCTATAAGGCTGTTATAGGAAATAGTGGTAAACAACATCCGCTGCTTTCCCTTCATCCACTCCCCAATTACCTCATCATAGAAGGTTGTCTCATTGGTCAGCTAGAAGTTTTTCCCCTGCATAAATCCATGCTGATGACTCCCAGTTTTCATCTTGTACTTAACATACTTGGCAATGGTTTCCAAGATGATTTGCTCCATCATCTTCTTAGGCATCAAGATGAGGCTGACCACACTGTAGTTCTCCAGATTTTCCTCCTTGAAGATAGGAGTGATGTTTGCTCACTTCCAGTCCTCAGGAATCTCCCTTGATCATCACCATCATCTTTTAAAGATAACTGAGAGTGGTCTTGAGGTGACATTGACCAGCTCCCTTGGCACTTGTGGGAGCATCCCATTAGGGCCCATGGATTTGCATATGCACAGTTTGTTTAAGGTGACCTTATTTGATCTTCCTCTACTGAGGGTAAGTTTTTGCTGCTCCAGGCTCTTCCAATGGTCTCTGAGGCCTGGTGTTCCTGATGGCAGTGAAAACTAAAATGAAGAAAGCACTGATCACTTGGGTCTTTTCTGTGTCCCTTGTGACCAGGTCCCCTGCCCCATTCAGCAGCAGGTAACCATTTTCCCTAGTATTCCTTTTGCTGCTGGTACACCTGTAATATCCCATCTTGTTGGTCTTCACATTAATTGCCAGAATCAAGTCCAGTTCGGCTCTGGCTTTCCTAAGCCCATCCCTGCACAGTCGGACAGTGTCACATTCCTCACAGGTCACCTGTCCCTGTTTACATCTCTTGTAAGTTTTCTTTTTATGTGTGAGTTGAGTTAGTTCATCCATGTAGCCACCTAAGAGTCTTGCTTGACTTCCTTAGTATGGGGACGGACTGCTCTTGAGCTTGGAGGAGGTGATTTGTTGATTCCAGAGGGGTAGCACAAGTAGAGCTGAACTTAGCTTCTGTGTTCCTTGATGATGCTCTCAGTCATACATGGGACAGGGCAAAATGCATCTTACTCTCTTGATTGTACTAGAGCTATAGTACAAAAACACTGCTGGAGAAAGTAGTATTTTGTCACTACAAAAAGAAGGTAGCTCTAAGCTGAAAAAGGAAGCAAGTCTGTAAATTCTTTACTGTTCCAATCATGCCAGTATCAGGATTTAGAGCACATCAGCATTCAAAACTAGATCTACACAACTCTGGCTAACAGCTTATAAAATGCCAGGTAATTCTTTATGTATTTTTAATAGAAAAAAATAGCGTGTATTTGCTTTATTTAACGTGGTTCATAGTGTATAATGATTCAAAGAAATTCAAATTTAAGAAATTCAAACTTAATAACATCAAAGTGTTATTAAGCAGACACCTTTATTACAGCTCTGAACGCCTGGGGGATATCTCCTCCTAACATGCGTGCCTCGCGTTACCAGCATCTGAATTGTATAGAGTACATACATTCATAGTCATTGTAATTGTTAGCATATTCATGACATTTCTGAGAAATGTTTAACATACTCAATCGTCCCTGATGCATGCACTGTTAAATGAGTTGGTGGTCCTCTGGTGGTCTCTGGTGGATTTTTGCAGTACTTAGTCCCCTTAACTTGTCTGTCCTCCAGAGGAACACTTCTCTTATCTACTTGCTTAGCTTGTATTTTAACATTGTACTGGTTCTTATTGGTTCGTGCCAGTTACTTGGTCAAGATAAAAGAAGTTGTCCACAGGAGTTTATCTTACACAATCCTCGCATACAAAAGGAAATTTACAAAACTCAGATTTGATTGATTTTACATATTAAAACCTTCTTCCTTGTCTCAGACCTTTGTTTCAATAATGAAAGGTAGATGTGTCACAGCTAAAGGCATTTAAGTGATTGTAACATCTGAATTAAGAAAAAGTGTTGGATTTCTTCACATTTTCTCATGCAAATTCTTTCTGTTGGAATATTGGACTCTGTATGGTATATATGGTTTTATTTTACATAATTTAAAGTTTCTTTCAGAAAATACTTAATTTAAACATGTTACCATGTTTTTATTCTGTTTCAGACTTGCCACCGGTTCCTTCTACATCGAGGACAGGCTTTGCAGAATTTTCTGTTAGGGAGCGAATGAGAGAGAAACTAAAAGCGGCAAGGGTGAGAATCCTTCAGAAGTTCTGTTTAGTTAACTTTAGTCTTATAAGTACCACCCACTTCATTTTACTTGCTTAGTGCTATGTGAATCTGAATTGAGATACCTGCTTTTTTATTTCTAATGCTGAAATAATACTCTGTTCATCAGTACAGTTATTTTCCAGTGTATTTCTATTGCTGTATTTTTTCTAAAGTTTAATTTATTTGTAATAGTAAAAAAGTTGTCATTGTTTTATAATTCAAATGATACAATCATTACAAGATCCTTCTGTGTTTTTGTGAAAAAAAAATGTCTTACACTATTTTGAAATCAGTGGATTTCCTTGTAAGTTTACTGTGCAGTTTAATAAGGAGTATTAACATCTAGGTCTGTAAAATCACTTAAGCTGATTATATAGTTAGAAGATTCTGTCCCTAACACAAACATGCATTAGTTGTTGAGTTCCTGGGATTTATTGTAGCTTTGGACTTACTGTATTTCTGTTATAGCTAAGCATATTTTTTTTTGTTTGCTTATTTGCTTAGTCAAGAGCAGAAAGTAATTTATTGCAAGGCTCCAGTCCACAACCCAGGTGTTTAAAAAGCATCAGAGAAAGTAAGACAGAAGTCGGACGGGATAAAGTGGTAAGAAGGTGCATTGGGTCTTGCTATTCTGATAATGAGAAAATGAATGTGAAACATTAAATAAATCAAAGACTACACATAGTCTTGAAGATCAATTTCATTTGTTTTAATGGGATCAAAATTATACCAATGGTTGAATTAGTATTCAGGAACTTTCCTGATCCAGGAAGGAACATTTCTGTTTATTGCTTTTAATGTACATATTTAACAACAATCATTTGCTTTCATTATAGTATAGCCATCATGTGAACCATGTCATTTACAGGTTCATGACTTCGGTTGCTTAAGATGCCTTAAAGTATTTAAAAGTTACTGTAACAGAAAGGACCATTGTATTATAGCTTTATATGAATTCACACAGTGTAATTGCTAAAGGCTGGATATTAACTTTATGTCATTGTACTGTACTGTATTTCCCTGTTCCCATTTTATATGCAGGTTTTTTAGTATAAGCGTGTTCTTTGTTAGAAAATTAATTTTGTTTTAAAAAAATAACAAAGGCTATGCCTGTACAGAACTTGCACCCAGATATTCTTCAGAATTCAGAAAGAGATTGCTTGCCTGTAGAAAATTTGTTCCAAAGAATGTGTATGCCCAGGAAATAACAGCATGTGGCAGTAGCGTTTTTATCTGGAATTCCAAACAGTATGAGTTAGCCTGGCTAAACTGCTTGTCTAGGGGAGAATTACCTAATCGTGTAGGTTGTGGGGAGGTTTTAGCAGTGTTTTCTTATAAAAAGTAATTGTCGTAGCTTTCAGTGAAGTAGTATTGTTTTAATATGTTCATATTAGGAAAATACGGAATTGATACTCTTATGAAAGTTGGTTACTAATTTCATATAAAGTATATCTGAAACCTTCCATGTGTTGGTTTTGTTTCCTGTACTTCTCTGCACACATACGAAGTATTGTTTTGTTGTTAAGCAAGTGGCTGTCTGATTGCCAGGGCTTGATGTTTTATTTTTGCTATTATTTTGAAGTTTAGGTTGACTAGATGTAAACTTGAGAAATGTCTTCCTTTAATCTAAGAATTCAGGCCACAAGGAAGAAAAACAGATAGAATGTTAGATGTGTTTATGTTGGCTGGGCCTCATGATAATCACTTAAAAGCACTTGAGTGAACTTGCTGAAGAAACCTCAGAACCAGTGATGTTTACAGTGATCTGTGCGTAGGGACAGATAAAGCTTCAGAAAAATGGAAATGGATAACCATGCTACCTCCTTTTTTGAAAAGGTGGAAGAGTATCATCCATGGAGTTTTAGAGTAGTCTATCAATACTTGTTTGAAAGAGAACAAAACAAATAATCAAGTTTGTACTTAAGTACCCGAGCAATGGACACCACCTTTTTTGAATAATACCAAATAGGTTTTTCCTGATTGCAGCAGGGGCTACATGAGAAGTTGGCCTTAGCTCCTTGGTTCCATTGCCAGGTCAGCAGTGTATCAGCAGCACCCTTACTGCTGCTGCCCGGCTTGGGTGGGTTGTCAGCCTCTCATTTGTAGATGGGAAGATTTTGCATTTGCTACCCCATTTCTCCCCCATGCAGAGATGAGCATGTGGTTGCTTGTGTTCGAGAGTGCAGAAACAATGATTTCATCAGCAACAAACATTTATGCAATGAACCATTTCTTGATACTCTGCAGTCTGTTTCTTGACCTAGAGGAGAAAGGAGTGAAGTAATAATTAGATGTACCCTTTTAAAATAAATATAAAATCAGTATAATTGTTACCACAGTGACTGTGGGTTTTTGTTTCTGGGGTTTTTTTCTGTGAATATGCAATTTTTAATCTCTGCATACAGCTATTTGTCTTTATTTTTTTTATGGATCAGTAAATGCATGCTATAACTTAAGTATATATTTTTATGCAGTCTGATAATGATAAATTTAAGGACATGCAAGAGGATGAATCCCACTTACCATCAAAAATAAAGTTTCGTGATTCTGTAAAAAAGCTTAAGCAAAAGTCAACAGTAAGTACCAATTCCTTCATTTCAATAATTGATATTAATTTCATTTAAACTTTATATGGCTTCATGATTCTGTTTGAGGAAGCAGACAGAATTCAGTCTGTTTAAATCCTTTTTATTGAATGCCACTAACTGGCAGTTAAAGTAACTTACAGATTAGTATATTGATATTTATTAGCCACAAAATGCTACTGTTAATTCTTTCATTAGAGGATTCATCCTAATACTAAAGTGAGGTCCTTCAGAGGCAAAATGCCATTAGAAATTTCTCTTCATATCATTCACCTGGATATCTGCATTACGGCCAGAATTTAAACTTTGTCATTTATCCTTTGAAAATTGTTCATATTTAAAACAATAAGCTGGTTAAAATTAAGCCAGGTAACTTTTTGTAATAAAACATTACAAGAAACATTAATGAAATAATAGTATAGCAATAGAGCAATATAGCAATTCGTGTATCATTTAAAAATTTCAGTCAGCTTCAGCATTTTGAGATAAAATAATTATTATCCTGTGACAAGTGTTTATACATGCTGTTACTGCTATTATTAATAGAAAGATATCTTTACTTCCCCTAAATTTCTTATAAATGTCATATTAAACTGTCTTTGTCATCTTTTCTTAGTTCCAGAATGATTTTCCTTCCACTGAAGAAGCATATAATTTCTTTACCTTCAATTTTGATCCTGAACCAGAGAGTATAAAGCCTGGAGCCAGGAAAAAGAATGAATTAAATGAAGAAGAGGAGACAGGAGAAGAACATGTAGAAACCCATGAGGATGAGCAAGAGGAGGATGAAACGGTGTGAGCTCTAGAATAAATGTTTATACTTTTTTTCAGACTTCTTGAATTAATTTGAATCTTCTAATACAAAATGGCAATTTTTGTTTCCTTAAAAATTCTGAAAGTGTAGTTTCTAAAGATCTCAATTCTAAGAAATAGAGGAACTAACAGAGGTGTTTGCATTTAAACTATAGGATGAAGACATACGCCTAGTTAAAGATGATGATTTATTCATTATAGGGCAGACAGCTGAAGATTTTCTAGTAATGAAACCTGCTGTTTGTGAAAGCTATTCTGAGCAACTGAAAAAGGAAAAAGAATTTCTCTTCACTCCCAGCACGCTAGCAGGTATGAAGATTGCGCTTCTCCATTTTGTTCTTGGATTTTGCATAGCATGGCACCCTTTCATCTGCTGAGAAATCTTGTATCAGACTGTCTCTGGCAGTAGAGAGATATTTAATTGTGCTTCTCTGACACTGGTCATCCAGTCAATTCTAAAAAGGTCTGACAAAAAGGATTAAATAGGAACATGTAACCTCATCAGGTCACCAGCTGGTATGCTAGGAACTGAACTCAGGGCACGTGGTTGGGAACTAAGGTTGCTCTGGCGTAATTACTTTAGTGCTGTGTCCTCTTTCACTGGGGTTTAGCTGTTACATTATTTAACATATGCAGCAGGTTACTGGGTACACACATTTAGGTACCGAGTGGCTCATGTACTGTACATTATAACTTACACTATTTCTTCACATCTGCAATTTTTTCCATGTGGCAAGTTTGTCAAAAGTCATGTAAGTAACATAAGGATTTTTGTAATTCAAGGGACCCTTTTCCCAAAACTTGATTTTGTGAATTGGAAATAGTTAGTCAACATTGATCCTGTCTCTGACCTTTTTGCCTTATTCCCATAGGACTGCAAAGTCCGAAAAAATTGCTTTATAATATCACTTGCTATTTAATATTTGAAGTGAAAGAAACAGAAATTAGTCTTTCCGTGCCCGAATGGTATCAGCACAGTTTGCAATGCAATGTCAAAATATTTGACATTGGGTGCCTCTGGTTTTTGTGTCTTGTAACTTAGTTCTGACTGCTTCCAGTGCAGTCCACTGGGTTCTGATTTAGGGGATTAACTTTTATCATAACCCTCAATATAGTCTCTCCCCATTTTGAAATTGCTTCTTGAAAAATACTGACCCCATGCACACTAGTGAAATAATCCTGCAGGCAGGCTTTAAAGAATTCCACCGGCTGTTACTGGACTAACGTGACTTTTCATGCATGTTCTGTGTTATGTACAAGAGTAGCTTAAGCAAAGTAGTAGTAGTAGTTCAGATTAATCTTAGTTAAAGTTTCACTTTATGTGGGAAAGGCTTAGAAATGTTTGTCTAGTCCATTGTTGCTGCTAACATGTTTTTACACTATTATTCAAGCAACCATTAAAACTAAACTCCACTAAGTTATTTGTAGTATTTTTTGGTGAGGAAATGCTTAATTATCTGTTTAGAAGATTTGTGACACTTTAATAACAGATTTAAATTCTGGATATGTCCTGATGAAGAGAAGGACCTGTTCTGGTTATATATTTATTTCTTTTTTCTTAGTTAGGAAAACATTTCTGACAGCATGCTTAATGTGCAGTGCTGTTCGTTTTAAGAATGGCATAGGCTCTTAGAGAATTAATAAACTAGAACTTCAGTTATAAGATATTTTACATGCTTTTCTATTTAATGTCTCATTAGTGCCCATTTCTGAGAAGATGCCTGGAAACATGCAGCCTAGGTACCTTGAGGATGAGGGTCTTTACACAGGAGAAAGGCCCTTTGTATCACAGTCTAATCAAAATATTTTAGAAAACAGAATACTCAGACAGGAGCAAGTAAGTCACCACTACCTTCTTAGTTGTCTTTTTAAAATTCTTTATTTAATCAGTATTTTATTTTGTTATAGTTAAGTAGGCAGATGGTCATGGTAGTATGCGGCTTTCTTCTTTAAAATGTTTATCAGTATCAGATGTCAGGAAATGTGGATTTTTGTAGGAGTGTGGTTTAGTGTATCTCAATAGTCAGAGCACCAGACTGAGTCGTAGAAAACTGGTGTCTTTGCCTGGGTCTGCTTGTAGCCTGCTGGAGAACAAATCACTTCACTTGTCTGTGGCAGAGTTTAGGTGCCACTACAACAGGGGTAATTACAGTTTACTTTTTTTATAAAATGCTGTGGGATTTAGTGTTATGTATAAAGACTTACACGAGAGCTGGGCACTGTTGTTATTATTTACTAGAAGATCATAACAGAAGGAAGCAATATGGAATGGCGGTTTTCTGTGTCCGCTGAAGATAATAGGAAGTTATGGACTTGTACAAATTTACTGCTTGCACTGTAAGGGTAATTAAATATTGGTATAGATTGTCTGGCGAGGTTTTAGAATCATTTTAGATTTTTAAGAATGGCTTATGGAAACACCTGTGAAGGTGGCTTGCATATATTTTATCCTGCTGTATTATCTTCTATACACGGTAAGGTGTGTGTAGTTTACTATAGATTTAAGCTAATATACAGCTTAGAGTATCCAAAATGTTTTCCAGTGAATGACGGACAAGACTTTACAGGATTATGTACAGTGACTTTGACAGGCAGACAGCGAAAAACATATATTTTATTATGATTCTATGAATTCTTCATGGGCTAGCAGAGGTACTTCTATGAATCAGATTGGGAATATTTGCATCTAAAATTTTTAACTGGCCAGTTTCAACCAGGTTAGTTTTGTGGTTTGCTTCACCGTGTTACCACATCAATGTTTGGTTCCAGGGTCAGCTTAAACCAGGTATAGGAATAAGAAGGCAGGCCAGCATCTTTCAGCGGCTGCACTGGTTTAAGCTATTCTTGAATCCAGGTCATGAGGGCAGAGGGATGAATAAGGACAACGTTTCACATGTGAAGCCATGGATAGCAATTGGTGTGTAAGATACTTGCTTCATCTGCTTTCATAAATGCTGCTTAATTAGCTTAGGTTTTAGACTGGAAGAGTTGAGAGATGCTTTGATAAATGATCTCTCTGAACTGCCATTTAGCTCTTTGATTTTAAAAATCATAAAGCAAAGAATTAAATTTGAAGATGTGGGTGGCAGTCTTGTTAGAATATTACAGTTCTTTAAATTTTAGTGATTTAGGAAAACAACAATTAAATGTTAAGTGATTTTTTTTTCTTTCTTTCAAGTCTGTAACACTGAATGTTGAAGGAAAAAATCAGCATATTTAAAGTTTGAGCAAGCTCTTGGTCTTTTGGTTTCAAAACTTATCTATAGTGTATTTGAAGATTTCACTTTGGAGTCTTAAAGTTTGGTTAATTCGGTCACAAACAACTCATAGTCATGTTTTCTTCTGTAATTGCGTTTCATAAGAATTACAATTTTTCAAGTTATTTCTGTATAAAATAAGAAACAATATGAAATTATGTTTTTATTTGTAGGGGAAAGAAGGGTAAAGAGTGGTTTGGTGACGATGGCAAAATCTTAGCATTGCCTAATCCAATTAAACAGTCTTCTACTAGGCCTCCAATATTCTCACTGGAAGAAGGCATTGCACCAGAACTTGAAACAGTGTATAGAAAGGTAGGTATATTTCATATACGTGGTTCCTGAAACCCAATATCCCAGTTCTTCTGTACCAGAAACTCTCATGAGTGAGCTGAAGGGTTTTGTGCCAAGAACCATAAGTACTAACTGCTTTTTGTGATTCCACAACTGGTCTTTAAATGCGCTCTACATTTTCAAGTATATTCCACATGTATTTTTCTGTAAAAATAATGCATACAAAAGGATGGAAAGTTTAGCCGGTAGTACTGGTTAAAATAGTAAAGTGACAGTCCATGACAAACTGCTTCAAGTCTATGAGTCACCAAGGTCTCTGTGAGGCACCCTTTGATATTCTCATGCCAAAGTAGATACACTAATACACTTTATAGATACACTAATACACGTGTATTAGTGTATCTATAAAGCTCCTCATGGTAGAAGCTGGTAAACAGACTTGGTGATCAGAAGTACTTTCTGCAGCTTGAGAGAGATAATTGAAGGGCATGTGCGTGATGGTTATTTTAACAGTGATGAAACTCCTCCCAAATAAGTCTTTACATGCAGTTCACTCATGTAGAAAGCAACTAATTTTGACTTATGTTGCATCAGTTCAGATCTTCTTTAGTTTGAGTTTTTTGTTTGCTTTTCCCTCAACCACAGCATACTTACCCTGGCAAACAGCAGTCACAGTGTGCAGTCAGTACAAATCAAAGCAAGTTTCAGTGAAAACCTTTAGGCAAATTTTAATTGTTCTGCTAATTAGCACTCTATTACCCCATTGGAAAAACTGTGACTTTTTAGACTTTAAGATAGATCATTCTTTTGGGACAAGCAAGTGTTTCTGTCTGCTGCTGTTGATACAGATTTGAATGTTGCCCTTTAATTGAAGCTGGTTACAAATCGCAATTCTCAGGATGAATCCAGTACCACACATCTATGCAGGGTGTTTTCTGCACACAGGAAAAGAGGTTGCTGCTTAGATCTTAGTAAAGATAGGCCAAGAGTGCTTATATTTCAAGAACACGATATTGACATGAATAGTGACATGTAAATACCCAGATCACTGTTGAAAGTAAGACATTAAGCTTAGGGGTCCTTTATGAGCAGAAAAATAGTTAAAGCATTTTTATGACAGTTTATGTCATATTAAACATTTTGATGAGAAACTGAATGTGGAAGGATCAGGGGGACTTAAGTGTGTTTCATGACCATTTATACCAGTCCTGTAAAAGAGCTACGCAACAGCTGAATTCCCGTCTCAATCTCCCCTTCTCTAGTTGTTACAAAGGAGCTGCAATGAACCCTACAAAACTAACAACTTCATGTTTTATGGTTCCAGAATATCTCTGATTAATCTCTTCTGAAGAATTCTAAAAGGGAAGCAGCAGTAGTAGGCAGGCAGGATGCACCGCTAATTCTCTTCTGATTTTGGTAACTTGAGGATAGAAGCCTGACAGCCTTTCAGTTGCAGCAGGTTGAAAGAGACTCTTTGAAAGCCTTCATTGGGCTTTGTTGGTGTGAATTTCCGTGGCATTAGAATAGGGAAACAAAGAACATATTTCCTCTTCTGAACAATCCAAATGGTCTACAAGGAAAACTGCTCTCTGAGAGCTGGACTGTTTATCTTGGAACTCAGTTCTAAGAGGAAATAAAGCAATACTAAACAAATAGGTAAAAAGAGATCTAGCAGGCTTTTCTTTTTCACATTCATTGTCGTTGTCTTCATTGCTCAGCAAAACCTGCAGCACAGGCAGATGACTTCTTATTTCAGCTTCATATAGGCTATCGAATTCTGTTGTTTAGAATACCCATGGTGCTTTTATGCCACGCATTTGTCAACAAAACAAAGAGGTTATCACAGAAGCCTTTACAATTTAAGACTCGGTAGTTAGATGTAAGCAGTGCTAAATGGGTCACTGTCACAAAATCTCTTTGCAAGATAGTTTTGCTGGGGTTTGTAAATCCATTTTTTTTTTTTTTTTTTTCAGGCAATAAAGATGACAGCTGCCAATCAGTATCTTGTCGGACATGGAGATTTTCAGGGGCCTTTTCAATTGGATGTTGATATTTCTGGACTGATATTCACCCATCATCCCTGTTTTAGCCGTGAGCATGTGTTAGCAGCTAAATTGGCTCAGTTATATGATCAGTATTTAGCAAGAAAACAGAAGAATCTTACCAAACTTCTCACAGACAAGGTATTTCTGTTGCATTGTCAGAGCTTACTGAGATAATGATATGATACTTTAAGGTAAAAGCTGAATTTGTTTCTTCAGGGTAGAGTGATGAAATTCTAATTGTATGTAATGAATGGCGTTTTGTCAGAAGATAAAAACCTAAGCATTTCATGTAGGTTGCTGCGTGTTCAGTACAGAACTGTATTTTTAAGATTATGGATTTCTTTGATCTTCTATTTAAAATTATCTCTATGCAAGTTCTGAGGTAAAGGGAACATAATTGTTAGAATACAATAACATTTGCATAGTATTGCTTAGAGTATCCAAAATGTTTTCCAGTGAATGACAGACAAGACTTTACAGGATTGTGTACAGTGACTTTGACAGGCAGACAGCGAAAAACAGTATTCAAGGATGGAGGGAAGTTAGTGAAGTTTAGTTTCAGTTGTTGACTAAAAAGTAAAAGGAAGCAGTTTAATTTCACCAAATTCTACAAAAGTTGATGACCTATTTCCAGGTATATATCTGTGATAGATGCTTTTTTTCTAAGTGCATATTGTCACATTTACTGTGTCACTCTTGTGATACGGCAAAACCCTAGGCTGAGCATAGACTCTTCTGTTCCTGGCTGCATTACTGACTTGCTGGATGACCTTGGCTGGGCTGCTTACCCTCTGCGTACCATCACTCTTCCTCCCATCCATACCTTGGAAGTAATGGTAGTGGTCTTCTCTGGTGTAAATTTGTACATGAACATCAGACGTTTAGTACAATTCTAATATCATCAGGGTGCACAAGAATATTTTTAAAGTATTTTGAAATGCTTTTTAAATCTGAAAGGATAACAATTCTTTAGAAAAATGAGGTAGATATTGTGATATGACGTAGCTCTATGAAGTAGGGCTGGACTGTTAAAAATTAGTTTGATTATTAAGTACATATAAATTCAGATTTCCATAAATTAAGGGACTATTGGAAGGGAAAAATAATCATTCTATGCACCGTCATTTTTATATTACTGTAATGAGGGTCAGTAGGTGCCATACAGATACTTCTGGATGTTGGTATAAAGCATTAGGTTATAGTTCTAATGCTGAACAAATATTTCATACAGTGTCTCAAAAGAATTCTTTGGTATACTTTTACTTTTAAAGGATTGGCTTTAGTTTTCCATGAAACAGTGAAATAGGACATTTGGGTTCTCCTTGCCTGCATTACAGGAACCTATGTGTGGAAGGGGTTTCCTGAGTGTTTCCACAATACTTTGCCAGTATGGTAGGCAGCTGCATAATACATTTTTCATAAATGGATTTTAACAATTAGGTGTTTTAGCCACCATTCTGCTACTGACAGACAGTTTTAAAACCTGTCTCCTCTAACAGTCATTATTTAATGGCCATATTGTTGCAGCAAAACAACTCTTCCTCCCTTTCCCTCTCCCTCCCCACTGTGTCCCAGTGGACTTCTCCTTATCCACCTCTTCAGAATACAGCAGATACAAATAATCCGTATCTTTAAAATATATCACCTTTAAGTCATCATTTTGGCAGGCTAAAGAAACTGCACTTTCTCTCTCCTCTTATAAAACATGCTGTCTGTGCCCCAGATTGTACTAGCAGCTTTCTGTGTGTTCAGTTATTCTTTCTTTCACAATTTCTTTCAACATCTTCTTTTATACCAGTGAGCTTCATTTTGTGGCTGTCCATGTATGTTTTCAGCTGTATGCTTCCCGCTCTCCAGTTTTATTGTCTCTCCAGTTCGATAGATTTGCTTAAAAAAATCTTTGCTCCTTGATTTATAATTTCATTGCTTTTGCTCTGGATGTAGTTGCTTTTGTTTCCTGCAGTGGCATTCGCCATTCTGGTTTCACATTCAGTATTATCCTGGAGATCTGCAGCAATGTAATTAACTAAAATTTTAATTCCTATCCTAGTACTGGTCCTTATTTTTCTCCTCTCCTAGCCAGTCCTTTACATTCTCTTGTCTTCACAGCCATGTATATTTGTGCATTCTCCAAAACTAGGTGTGTGTCTTCCATGTAATCATTTGATGCCTATCCTCAAATCTTAGTTGAAGGGGTGGCCTCTTGTCTCGACAGTTATGGTTTCAAAAGTGCATTTGAACTGTACCATTGTTGCCAGTTCTGTCTTATCCTTAGACCTTCTCTTCTTCCAGTTGTTACATGCAATATGTTATGCTTAAGTGCTTTGTTGCAAGGTGCCCAGCTTCAGTAAGGCACTCCTCAAATCCACAATCCACTCACTTTTGTTGTTTGTTGATTTTCTAAGGTAACTTTTGGTGGCCCTTCCTAGTCCCAAAACGACCTTTTCTAGAGGGTGTTTTTTTGGCAGACTCACTTCCCCCCCGCCCTCCCCCCCAGCCTGTTGATTCTTGAGCTTTCAGAATAATCCCTAGAACAGTCTTGTTCCCTTGTTTAGATCTGTCACTGTGATCAAAGTCAGAAATCTCCCGCATGCATCTGGGAATCCTAATTAGAATTTCATCTTGAAGAATCAGCAGCTCACAGACATGGCAAAACACTGTAAATACTGAATCAATACAATTCAGAGTTTTCTGTTATGTAAAAACTAGCTCTTTCCTGTCAAGATGCATTACACTGTACGCTTCCTAAATGTCAAATCATCTGTTAATTGTTTGTTTGTTTGTTTAAGCTGCATGCTTTGAGGAATGCTGTGCAATGTAGTATAGACAATGCTGGTGCTGGTGTTCCTAGACCTGTGGCACAACAGAGCATACCTGAATACAAAATGGAGATCAGGTAGGTATGGATTCTTTAGATCACTGCTTTTTAAACTGTATGACCTTTTTTTCTTTCTATGCTGGTACAGAATATGATTCATGTCAGACTTAAATTCTGCTATAAATAGCTCTAGAAGAATTTTGAAGGCTTAAGATTTCTTACTGATGAGTAAAAGCAATTATGAAGAAAATACAGCTTAGGCTGAAATCTTGATTCAAAAGTGGTCTAATTTGATTACCTTTTATTAATTACATAGTAACTATTTACTAGTGTGTTTTGCACAATTAAAATTTAATTAAAAGAAGGTTTCAGTAGGCATGCTGGATGCATGAAACTCTCACAGCAATGCAAGCTGACGTGATTTTTAGAACAGACAAAACCCCTAGTTTCTTCCATCGTCTTCCTCATTACACAAGTGTTCTTGATTCACTTCCCATTCTTAAGTATTTTGGCCATGTTTTTGCCAATGGGTTAATATATGGTAGAATTGTAGAATTCTGTTTTACAAAATTACAGTTATTTTTCTTGGACAGTAACTAGGTAGTAAAAATATACTGCAGTTTTTGGCTTGGTAGTGAAAGTTAGTATTATTTTTGGCAGATGGACAGTGGTGCACTGTAAGTGTAAGCAGTACGATAAAAATTAAGTTATTTTGGAGATACATGCTGAGCAGCCTTTTAACTAGTAGATAATAAAAATATGAAAGTTTTCACAACCTGAAAGTAGGCAATAATGTATTAATTTAAATAAACAGAAGTTTAGACTGATGTAATGGATCACATAATAATAGAATATTATTATTATCATTATTTAAATCAGGTTTTTTTGAATAAAAGTTATACTTTCAGCCTTGAAATCTACATCTGCTTACACTTACACATCTACTCACTATTAGTTTGGGAATTGCTTCTTTAGATTTTCATCATTCAGTTATGCTGTCTTGTAATACATTGGTATCTGTGCAGGATATATAGAAGTCTGTAATGTAATATTTTATACTGAAGGACAAAGTGTTCCTTCCATTGAAAAAGGAGTAACTTTTACTAATACTTTCTTAACACATCTGCTAGAGGACTAGGAGCAGGAGGTGTGTAGTTGCCATACAATACCTTGGAGACAGGAGCTCTCACCGGGGAAAGCATGAGAATAGTAATGAGAAGGTTCACTGTGGGAATGAGAGTCTTGATATTGTCACTAATCCTGAGGCTTGCTTGATGGTTAATTCTAATTAGATAAAATATTCCTTCTGGGTATCTGAAGTGTTTTTGTAGGTCTTGAGTGCTTTAGTTCAGTGTCACACTATTATGAATAAGGAGAAACTCAGCTGAAATCAGTGAGATCAGTGTTGCGTAAGTAATGTGAGCTGAGTTTGGCTGGGATTATTCTAGGGCTTTTTGTATCTGCAATTTTTTCTGGCTACAGCCCTGTTGTTGGAAACTGTTCCACATATGAGACTCAGATGGGCTCAGGAATTTTTACTGTCATGGTGTGTAATACTAACTTGGACCAGATGTGTTGGTAAAAACATCTGACCTGCCGTGTCTCTCCTCTAACATTGCATTTCCCTGATGGTCAGTGTAGTACTCTCATGAGAAATTACAGATGTGAAGAGAGTGTAGCATGGAAAATAATCTGACTCTTTCCTCCACCCTCCAATAACATAACTGATGTGTGCTCCTTGCTGTCTGAAGATCAGAGCTGTAGTTTTCCATCAGTTTGAGGAAGAAATGTCATCTGAATACAGAAAACTTTTGCAAATTAGCAGTTTCAGCCCTACTGTCCTCATTTGCTGAGAAGGAAGCCAACGTATGCTGTGGATTGCGGGTTTCAGGCTCTTCTGGCTGATGTATTTTAGCAGAGGTGATTCTCTACTGAAAGATCCTGCTTCCAAATCGAATACATTAGATAAGTGTAATTACTGAGCTGTATATTCCTCATGTCTTTAAACTTCATCTTCTAGCTTCATCTGGTAGACAATGAAGAAGAGGTGGTTAAGCTGCGTGGTTAAGTAGTATTCAAATTGCTAGCTAATGAAGTGCAGAAGTTACTCATATTGCTTTCTGGAAAGTCTGTATTTCTTCTTTGTTTATTGTTTTTACTGAATTTGCTTATGCTTTTAAATAATGTGTGATGTATTTCTTAGCTCTAACTCAGCCTCTCTGTCTTCCACATTCTCTGAATATTACAGATAGTAATGTGTTAGTTTACAGCTTCTATTTTTATTTTTTTTTTAAATCACATTATTTTTACTAGACGTGTTTAGCTACCAAGATAGTACTGGAAACAGTCTGTGCTTGTGCCACATAGACATTTACATCAGAAGTGTGTTTTGGTCATTAAAAGTGCTAATGAATAGCTCTTTTACAAACAGATTAGAGGGTGGAAATGTGAAATACCAATTCTGAGGCAAAAAAAAAAGCCCTATTAATTTTGTTTGTGTTGAGAATCCTGTAGGGCTGTCAAAGGACTTGCATTACTTCATACATTACTACATTACTTCATCTCTGCAAGTCCTTTTTACTGGAGCTAGAAGCATGTTAGTTTAAAACATATTTTGTAATGTACGATTGTAATAAGCATTACTTCATAGCAGCAGTGTAGGTTTCCTGGGCTGTTGTTTACATGAATTGACTTTAAAATGTTTTTAATGATGTACAGCTGTAATAAGCATTTCAGAAAACTTTGAGATCTCTAGAGAATGAACTATAATTGAAGTCAGATTATCCAAAATGCAAGAGACTAGAGTACAGAAGGAAATCAAATCCTGCCATCTTTAAGTCTGGGTTTTATGCTCCTTGGATTTAAACCACTGAACCCATCAATCAAATAGAAACCCACATCACTTGGCTTTTGGTATCGCAATTTTTCACTCTGTTGTTCCACTGAGTTATACAATTCTGACTGATTTTGTGCATATGTATATATATTTCTAGGCAAACCAGAAGACTTCGTGATGCTGAAGAAGAAAAAGACAGAACATTGCTTAAAACCATTATAAAAGTTTGGAAACAAATTAAATCCCTCCGTGACTTTCAGAAGTTTACTAACACACCCATGAAACTTTATTTGAGGAAGTATGTTTTGATAACACTGTTTGTACTTCATTTGCCAGCAGTGGAGTTTTAATAAGATTAGTCAATTTGGGAACTTACAATTCTGATACAAAGGGTGCAAAAGTAAGAATCTGAGTAGTGTCTGGCACCGGTTGAGCCTGACTATATGTTAAAATAACAAGTAATTACTGTAACAGAAAGAAATTTCTAAAGGCTAATGAGTAAAGAAAAAGTAATTATATTCATTGTGGATGGTAACTGTCTGGTATCAACTCTTAGACTATCTATGCTAGTATTTTTAAATAGAACACACATTTGATATAATGAAATTAATTCATGGAGAAGTAGACTTATGTTATATATTATAGCCTTAATTGTAGCCCTTATGTTAATTTATGCAACATGTTGATAACTGTTGTTTTGAAGGGAAGTGGTTGATCAGAGATTAGATGAAAAAGCATATGAAGCAGAAATTCAGTCTGAGATAAATGAATTACTAGAAGAATGTATGGAAGAATATGAGAAGAAAATGGAGGAGTATAAAACTGAGCTACAAGAGTGGAAATCCTGGAAGAAAACACAGGTTTGTTTAAATCACTGAGTTTGAGAAAAAATAAAATTATTACTGAATGTGTTCAAAATTTGTCCTTCTAATACAGGAAAAAAAAAAGGCAATTTCAGGGTAGTTATGCATAGATTTTGTAATGTACTTAGATACATTCTGTCTACTTAGAATTCATTAGTAAATTAATTGTTAATTAAAAAAAAAGTGCGAGGCTTTTGTGGAGCATTGTCTTACTACTGTTGATTTTCAGCACTTCAGCAGTTCTTTCTTTACATGTAGTAGTTTTGCAGCATTCCTGTTAAATTCATATCTTTCTTGCAAAGAAAAAACATGGATGAATTTTGTGTGTGGAGTAGTGAAGCAAAATAATTATGGGATGTTTCTAATGAACAAGCAGTTGATATCATCTCATGTAAATTTATGTTCAGGAATGTCCCCAAACTGAAAAACGCAATTAATATTCTAGCCTTTTACCTCTGAAAATCCTTATTGCTAATAATCTGTACTGTAGTTAAGGTCTCAGTTGTGCTTCAAGAGGATATTGACAAGTACAGTACCTAGAACAATACACTGCAACAGGCTAATCTTTGAAACAGCCTGTGGCAGCGCCAGCAAAATCAAACTTGCTTTCATAGTTATGCAGCAACGTAATGGATACCGCAGAGTAACGGTGATTATACTTGAATTACTGCCCTGTTTGAATACTGTGGGGTTTTGGATACCAAAGCAAAATAAAATTCAAGGAAACGCTTCAAATACAGTTTTCAAGAATCTAGTGCATCTGCTGATACTTTTATGGAAATTTTTTTTCACATAGCAGCATCTAAGGCACTTAAGATGTTTGAGGGGAAACTGATCTGCTGGTACTGGAAATTCCTGTTACTCAAACATTAGTGGGCACTTGAGTTGTTAGTATCATGTTAGTTCACTTGTAGGGTAAGATGAAGAAATGTAAACCTTGAAATGAAGGCAGTCTTGAGCATTGATCCTAACGGGAACTGTTCAGCTACCTCTAGCCAGTTGTGCCTCCACAAATACTACGGTGGATGGTTCCAGCCAAAGCTGCTCTCAGCATCTTTTTATTGTGTTAGTCACAAACTGTCTTGAAACCGAGATGATTGTGGTTTTTTCCCTTTAGAGTGAAATGTAGTACACAGACCTTCCTTTCACGCCTGGAAATACTTTATTTTATTTTACCTGAAGTGATTTGTTAGTTAGTCACTGCTGTTGGTGTCTTACTAGCACAGATCATGTGTATCTATGGAAGACACTAGAGGTAGAAGAGACTAGATAAATTTAAAAGGAAATAAAAGAACAAAACCCATAAAATTAGACCAAAAAAGAAAGAATATTTATTAATAAAAATAAAATAAGTTGTTTGGCTAAATACTTCAGTTAGTGAGGAGAAACTGTTTGCTTTCCTCACCTCCAGCTCTTTTGCTTATGGTGTCTTACATAATGAAGTGGCTGGTGCTTCCAAGCAAGCTGTACTTCCAAGTAATCTGTTAAGTCTGCGGAAGGAGGAACTTGCTTGAGTTTAAAGCTGAACATGCACACGAACACTGGAGTTCTACAGTTTAGGAGATGCTGAAAGACACGTGATGTTCTGTTTGTTTATTCTTCCATTTGGCATAGAGGAAGGGAGCGGATCATTCTCCTCATGCTAAGGCTACTTCTAGCCTAAAGAGCTTGTGCTCCGAAGTTTGTGGCACATGTGCATTCACTTTGTCGATGTGTATGCAGACAATACATCTCGAAGAACCGTGTCTACTGGTTGAGCAACATTCCTTCAGTCCTAACTGAATGCATGTGGTAACTCAGGCTAAATGAGAAGTCAGCTGCTAGTCAGAATGTTCAAGTAACATCTTTATTTTGTAAGTTGGTTGGGAAGGTTAAATAAATGTGTTGTTTAAAGCACATTATGTTTTTAAAGCATATGAACGGAATGCATTGCTGAATTCTGAATCTGAAGTAGTACTACAGAATGAGAGAAATCTAACTTTTGGTGTGGTGATTTTAAAATTATACAGTCATTTCTCATACATGTTTATCACTTGTGAATCAAGAGAACAAGAGGAGAAAACTCTACTGATTGATACAAGTTCAGGAAGAACATTTTTATTTTTATATGCAGAAGTCCAAGAAGAAAAAGAAGAAAAAAGACATTCATGATGAAGAAGAATTGGTAGAAGATTGTGATCTTGGTGAGGAACGTGTAAAACCCATCCCACCTAAAATGGCCAATAGCCTGGAAATAGAGCGGCGGGTTAGAGAAAAAGCTGACAACTGCAGAAGGAAACCTGGAGAGCCTGCTCTAATTCCTGAACTGGTCCTGTCAGGAAACATAACTCCAACTGAGCTGTGTCCTCGGTAAGATAAATTTTGGCCTGCAATTTACTTTATTCATGAGTTTTTACTGTTATTCAGATTGTTTATACAACTTCAGAAGCATGTGTTCAGCATTCTGTTTAGTCTAGTGATAAAACTTCTGCTTCTGAAGCTGATAACTTCATTCGCTTTCAAGTCATATGTAAGCGTGTATGTACTGGGCCTGGAGAATGCATGTCTACACACTCCCTTTGAACCTTCTGATGTTCCTTGAGCATCTGCATAGAACAGTGGTTTTTCAGTGTAGAGTCTAGGTCACTTCTGACAGTACCCCTCTCACTGGCTAGTCCTTTACACCAGGTCTGTGCTATAATCAACAAAGCAAAAATAAAGAAATCATGTCGTAAGCCAGAGATTTCACTGTGGATTAAATAAATAAATTTACTTGTTTGTGTTACTTTCCCCATTTAAACACGCGATTTGACATACATCTAGCAGATTCTAGTCATTTAAAAACTGCTTTGTTTCATACTTGCTCAGCAAATAGCCTCATCAAGGAGTATTGCTTGGCTGTTCTACTCCCAATAGCTAAAAACTTCAAAGTCTTAACTCGATTTGATATCATTTCTTGTGCGTTGGAGGGAGGGAGTAGAAGGGAATTTTGTTTCCCTAAATAACTCCTTTTATATGGAAGTGGCTTTAATGGATCTAAAATTTTGACCTGTTCATTTTTAAATGATTGTGTATTCATGAGAAGATAAAACAACTGTTAATAATATAATAATAATTAATAATAATGTAATAATAGTTTTAAAGTCATTCCTGTGTGGTGACATTTTTAGAAGAATACCATCTTTATTCAGGTGACTTCCCATTCCCCCTTGAGGAATCAGAATCTCATTAAAATAACCAAGAATAAAAATGTTATTAAAAATGATATGACAGCTTGTTTGACATATTTACAGAGCAGAAGTTTTGCGACGAGAAGATGTGAAGAAACGCTCAACATTTATAAAAGTCCTTTTCAACTCCAAAGAAGTATCAAGGACTGTTACCCGACCAATAAGTTCAGATTTCAGAGTTCACTTTGGACAGATTTTCAATTTACAAATATTCAATTGGCCAGAGAGTTTGAAACTACAGGTAGATAATGATTTATTATAGAGCTTTTAAAAAGATAATATGAAATGTATTACTCCTGTAATGCTTATATTTTGCTCTATGGTAGTGTTGTAAAGACTGAAAAACCTGTGAAATAATCTCTGTGAATCATCAATCTTATACTCCTTATGTAAGGGGTATGTACATATAGATGTTTTTATGTATATATGCTTTATATAACATGACTATGGCCTACATGGGGGAAATTAAGTAACTGGGACATGTGATTAAATACGTTAGTGGAGCAGCCTCTTAATTTTAGAAAAACTGATTTATGTTGCAGATAAACTTGCCAAAATGGTAGTCATAAAACATTATTTTCTACACAGTAAAATCATCATAATGTTTGCTGGAGGGGAATAAGAAAAAAATTCATTGCTAGTAACGTCCATAACTACACTTGACTTGATCAACAGTGCAGTTACGTCAAACCACCACCATCCCATTCCAAGTATGAATTAATGAATAAATCACATGAATAATTTTCAGAGCCAATGCAATATATTTTTAGGAGAAACACGGTCAGGAGCCTACTTCTCCTGTTAGATGACTTCTTCTGTTAGGTAATGTATCAGTGGTAGTTCAGAGGATAGTGATATACCTCTCACCTGCTCCATTTATGTAACACACAAATTGAAAGGCAAAAGGAATACCATCTGCTTGGATTAAAAACATCTGAATGGAGAAGTCATTTGCTCTGAACATGCAACTGGCCAGGAAAGAGAGACACAGCCTGCAGCACTGAGAGAATGGGGGCTGTGTGCCTTACCCTGCCTTTTGTGGTAAGGGAGAAAGAATCCCTCTGGCACCTTCACCTGATGCCAGTAACTGTCACAAGCAGTTGCATATTGTACAGTGATGCTCTTTAAACCCTAGAGTTTGTTGTACTATTCTCAAGTGCATTAGAAAGGTGAAGAGGATATACATTTAAGAAGAATTTAGACCAAATCAACTTCTGGTAGCTGAAATGTCTGCTAATTGGATATTTTAGAAAGTAAAAGAATACAATTGCCTTAAATGAATTTTTTCATGCTGAAGTCACAAAGCCTTTCACCTGAATACCCTACAATATGTTTTCAATTTCTCATGAATATGTGTGTAAATTTTTTACGGTCTGTTGCCATGTTGTTTTCTAGATATACGAAACAACGGGTATGAGCAGTACCACCTTGTTGGCTGAAGTGTTCATACCTGTTCCTGAGCCTACAATTCTGACAGGCAGTGCTCCTATGGAAGAAATAGAATTCAGCAGCAATCAGCGTGTGATGCTGGACCATGAAGGAGTTGGGAGTGGTAGGGACTCTCAGTCTTTCTCAGTTCGGTGTTTCTCATTTTGCTGAAACCATGTAGCAGTAACAGGCTGGCGTATGTTTGAGAGTAAATTCTCTTAAGAGTGTTTACAGCTTCTGTAACTGAATCTTCTAAAATAGTCATGATTCTTCTTGTTAAAGATTGCTGTGGAATTTTTGTCTCTTACTAATTTTAAGCTGTCTGTAATAAAAATGTGTGTGTTTATTATTTGGCTTGTAGTGTTAGTGGAGCTCTACTAGCTATAGAAGGTATTTTGGGTTTTTTTAGTGTTTAAATAATCAGACCTCTGACACTGCAGAACAAGCAGATGGTATTAATCAGTATAGCTCCAGTGATTTTAATGTTTTAAACCACTGAAGAACGGGCTGTATAAGTGTATATGCACGGTTATTTTTTGTCTTCCTATTTGCTTTGTTGGCATCCTGCAACATATTTTATCCCTGGGATTTCAAAACGATAAAACAAGACACAGAGAGGAAAAGGGGAAACAATAAGAGAGAGTAGCATATGGAACTTTCAAGTTTGTGTAATAAGTTTGAACAGCATTATGAGATAACTGACTTGCATAAATTTGCCATATATGAAATGCAGATGAAGCTAGAGCAGAAGAATAGATAAAAAGCTGTAGAGAAAAGAAATGTGGTAAACGACAAATGCGTGTGTAAGTGTCATTGACCATGATAACTCTATATACAGTTGTGTATCATAAAGCTTTAGGACTGTCTTTTCAGTCATGCATAATTATTTTGAGTCTGAATTTCTGTTTCATTAATATCAGTATGCTGAATCTGAAAATTACCAGAAATATTAAACAGTGTGCATCTGTGAAGGGAAAAAAAAGCCTTTGGCATATCTTTCAAGGCATAGCCTTTCCTGCCAGCCCAAATGGAAAGCCGTTGTGAGGGGTGGAATGGAATCTTTTACTCCTTTTGTAGAGCAGAGTCCTTCCCCACAGCATGCAACAGAATCAAGTTGTCTCACGTTACGCCATTTATATAAAGGCACAGGTTATTTGACTACTTGACTACTTAAAAATACGGGAAGTATTTTTTTTAAATGTTTAGACATTGTGTTTGAATGCAGAAGTATACTAGTTTGAGGTTTTTTTTCCCCCTTTGATAGGTGTGTCCTTTTCATTTGAAGCTGATGGTAGCAAAAAAATGACTTTAATGACCTCTGGGAAAGTATCCAATAGCGTCTCTTGGGCAGTTGGAGAAAAAGGAATCCCCTTAATTCCTCCAGTGTATCCGCAAAACACAGGCATTCCAAGGTAATACGATATGAATTTTTAGTGATTCATCAGGAACTGATTATACTAGTTTGTTTTTTTTTAAATAGTTGCATAATAAAGAATTTTCATAATCTTTTTCCTTAAGTTTAGATATTTTACTTTGCGCTGTAACCCTCTGGAGATATCTTAGGATACATGTTTTTGGTAAATAGATTTTAGTTAGGAATTCTATCTTTTAGTATATTATTTATAGACAATATTAAAGTTAAACTCAAGCTGGTTAATTCACTTTTATGATTTTCTAATAGAAGTTGTCCGTATTGGCAAGCAACTTTCCTGTAATCATTTTGCTAAGAACAGAAGCTCCAGCTCCTTCTTATCCGAAGTGCATTTGGAGAGGCTATTGAGACACGTGCTTTAAATGCCCTTTTTGTAATTAATGATAAAAATTATACTATGAAAGCAGTAGAAGTTAGTATGGGGGCTTGACATTGTTAGTGAATTAATCAGTGAAGTAGTCTCATCTGTCAGATCATTCCAAGATAATACTGTTTCATTATTTTTCTCCATCAGAAGCCTGTTGACATGCAGAAATGAGTATATTATTCCATTCAAAACAGTCTAATTTGCCCTGTGGCTGCAAGTTGGACATTGTAGATTATTTGTCCATTTTGTTGCTTTTTATATAATTTCAGTATAGTCAAGGAGATGATACATAAAGTCTGTTTTTGTAGTGACCTCAGGTAACTTCACTGTAAAGCCCTAGGAGTTTTACTATGCTTATTAACACTGAGCAAGTACCCAGCTGATTAGGTTCTGTCAGATTTAGAGGCTAGACATTGGTATCTGAATCACTCTGTTACTATTTTTGACCCAAGCTGCAGCTGCTAGAGTAATTTTCTGATCAGCATATGAGTAACCTGCTGACTTCAATGAGACTAGAATAGCATGAGATTAAAACACAAGGATGCATTCCCAAAGGCTAACTATAATTTGGGAGACTAACCACTGTAAGTAAATGGAAAAATGGGGAATTTCAGAAGGAGGTTTGCTGTAAAACATTCTTCTTTGAACTGCCCTCTAGAGATGAACAACCCTCTGTGACTTCCCATTGTCTGTTGGGAAATGGGAAAGTTGGAGGCAAGGTTTTCATGCATAAAGTTAGTTTTTGCTGCCCATTAACTTTTCAGCACAATTGTGATTCAGTGTGCATTTGTTCAAGACTGGTGCCTAAAGATAGAACCCTGATGTTACCACTTTATCTGCTGCTCCAGTAACTGCTGGATATTTTGCTGATTCTAACAAAGAATAAGAAAGATCCCAAAGTTCCTAAAGCTTTCTTGAAAATATTCAGATTAGTAGAGAACAAAGAGACAAATTAGTACCCCTAACAAGAGAAGGGGCAACAAGAAGGACTTGGTGGTACTAGTGGAGGAAAAGCTGGACATGAGCCAGCAATGTGCAGCCACAGCCCAGAAGGCCAACCGTATCCTGGGCTGCATCCAAAGCAGCGTGGTCAGCAGGTTGAGGGAGGTCAGGCTGAGGTCAGCAGGTTGAGTCCCCTCTGCTCCACTCTGGTGGGACCCCACCTGGAGTCCTGCATCCAGCTCTGGAGCCCTCAGCACAGGAAAGACATGGACCTGTTGGATTGGGTCCAGAGAAGGGCCACCAAAATGATCCGAGTGATGGAACACCTCTCCTGTGAGGACAGGCTGAGAGAAGTGGGGTTGTTCAGCCTGGAGAAGAGAAGGCTCCAAGGAGACCTTATTGCAGCCTTCCAGTACTTCAAGGGGGCTTGTAAGAAAGATGGGGACAGACTTCTTAGCAGGGCTTGTAGCAATAGGACAAGGGGTAATGGTTTTAAACTGAAAGACGGTAGATTTAGATTAGATACAAGGAAGAAATTTTTCACGATGAGGGCGGTGAAACACTGGCACAGGTTGCCCAGAGAGATGGTAGATGCCCCATCCCTGGCAACATTCAAGGTCAGGCTGGATGGGGCTCTGAGCAACCTGCTCTACTTGAAGATGTCCCTGCTCATTGCAGGGGGTTGGACTAGATGGCCTTTCAAGGTCCCTTCCAACCCAAACTATTCTATGATTCTATAATCTACCTTTTGTGGTATTTGGCTAATAACATGCATGTCCTGGTGTTTTGGGTTTGTCTGGCAAGGTTTTTTGGGGGAGGGGCTTCTGGGATGGCTTTTCTGAGAAGATGCCAGAAGCCTGGCCAGCAAATCAGTGTACAAATGGTCTCCAGACTACCTACCATACTTCCTTGCCTACTATGAATACAAGAAAGTGAGCAGGAACATCCGAAGGATAAGGAGTGGTGCTGGGACCTGTAGTGTCAGGGAGGATCAAAAGCAGGGCTGCACCACGAGGGAGAGGGCTGCAAGGGTGTCCCAGCACAGGCGCTGTCCTCGCCAGCCAGCATGCAGTCCTACAGGAGCTGAACATGACAGGCAGAGCAGGGTGCTGACAGCAGTCCCAGACATGGCGAGGCGATGAATCAGGCCCCAGGGTCTCTCCAGAAAAAGCGGACAAGGGGGCAGAGACCAAGGCAGGTCTGAGCACGTGGTCCAGGACACAGGCCAAAGGCAGGATTTAAGACATAGTGCAAGCAAGGACTGTACATCTGAGAGGTTTTTTTTCAGCATGGATTGTCAAAACTTTTATGTTACCTTTCATGCTGTGAGGCAATTTATCATCTTACTTCCTAATAATCAGCAACTTGATGTAGATGTATCATAAATGTATCAATAAGCACCTTATTACCTTGTATAAAAGTTCCCTTTCACCAGTTCCTTCATATTTCCTCAGTACTTTCCCTTGCAATTCATCATTCCCTCAGCTGCATAGCTGCAGCTAAGAATTTTGTAGTGGAAGTTACTATTCAGGTTGTGGGGAGCTTTTTGGGTTTTCCTGAGGTTGTTCAATTATGTTTTATATTGCTATATCATAGGTATTTTGGGAATAAGTTCTGTCAATTCTGTGTTTTTAGTGCTTTAAAAAACATTGATGCTATTGCATCCATTGGCACATCGGGCTTAACTGACATGAAGAAACTAGCTAAGTGGGCAGCGGAAGCAAAACTTGATCCAAATGACCCAAACAATGCAGCTCTGATGCAACTGATCATGGTAAGTGGCTTTTTCAGAGCTGTAGGGCTAGCGGAGCTGTGAAGCATCTAGCCACCAATACCTTCTCAGGCATGCCAGGGACGTAGTAGCATTTGAATTTGCGATGGGCATACTTGTGCAAACGTTAAAAAGCAAAATGTCTATTAAAAATGCGATTTATTAATCCATTAGTAGTGGGTTAATGATTTATTAATGAGTATGATTTATTAATCCATTCAGTAGTATTCTAGTGGTGAAAAATAGATATAAGGAAATACGCAAACTGGTTAATTTATAAAATAAAAAAAAAATACAGATTTTGAGTTTGTTTTTCCCCTAAAGTGCAGGGGGTATGGTATTAAATAGGAAGTTGCTCATTAGTGACAAATGCACAAAGGGATCTAGTGTATTTTGTAAGTTGGGACTTGCCTAAATATCAACTTGAGGAGTTTACATAATTGAAGTTGTGTAAATGAATCGTCTTTGCAGTACAGCTTCCTAGGTTACTCTGCTATGTTATAGTTTTCCTACTCTTTAATGTTTTGTTTATGTTACGAGGAAATACAATTTCATTGTATTCTTAGATGTGTAATCTCATATACTTTGCTCAACACAAACTTACTTTAAAACACTTAGCGTTTCAATCTCAGATTGTTCTGTCTCACGTGCTTTTGATTAGAGTGAATAACCTTGCAATATGCCTGTAAGACTTAGAAAAAGTTATTTTATAGGCTTCTGTCACTTTGTATGAAAAGTTTAATGATTTTTTTGTCTAATTTAGGTTGCCACAAGTGGAGAGGCACACGTTCCTGACTTCTTCAGATTGGAACAGTTGCAGCAAGAATTTAATTTTGTTTCTGATGAGGAATTTAATAGGTCAAAGAGATTCCGACTCTTGCAGCTTAGAAGTGGGGAGGTGGCAGAGTTCAGAAACTATAAGCAAGTCCCTTTACATGAACGAGAAATCAGTGAGAAAATCTTCCAGGTAGGATGTAATCTGAAATGTTTCTTTCCTAGTTTTAATGCTAATAATATTTGACTTGCAGTTAAGTCAGTTGGTCCCTTAAAGAATGTACAGCTATGCTGATGTGTAAAAAATGAGAATTTTATTCCTTCAGTCTTTTCTAGTGTTATTTTAATCTAATTAAGACAACTTCCTTCCAAGGCAGTATTTCCACAGCTGTACTGTGGAAGGCGAAAAATAAAACACAGCAACTGCTATAGACACAAATGTTCTAAGATACTTCTTTTTTTAAAGGTGAGAGACTTTTTTTTTTTTAAAATGTGATTTCAAATATAGAAAGGTAATGCAAAGATAATTCAGGTTTAGGCTTATTAACTTCTGAGCCCTTTCTGTGGAGAATGCTGGAAGCAATAACTCTAATGAAAATTAAACCTTTTTATCTTTTACTACAGTCTATGTTGTAGTTATTTTTGTTTTAGTACATTGTTCCAATTAGCTTACCCTGTCCCTGCCTGCCTGTTAATTACCTTACTAAAATGCAATGTTTGCATTTTTATTTGGCTCATATTTCAATTATTTTTAATCTCAACTCCATTATTAGTGTTAAGTCACACATTCTTTTGTTCTTTAGCAATTCGTGTAGCTAAGAAGCATTTTAGTGTGTTCGTTGCCTTAGCAGGATCAGAATCATCTCAGATTCTAGCAACTGCTGCTTTATCCCTACTTCTTACATAGATTTCTTTGAAAAATTCCTTTCTTCCATTTCTTTTGGATTATATCTTTTTTAAAGATACTTATTAGTTCAATCATGTCTGTCTTTTTGCAGTAAATATTTTTCCTTTTTAAATTTCAGCTTAGTTTTTTTATTTTACTTAAAGATGTGCCACATCTTTGATACACATTTCTGATCCAGTTTATTTTACAGACTAACTTTATTAATTTCATATTATCATTCAAAATTGAAAACCATAGTTCAAGAATTGTTTTATTTGGATTTTTTTCCATTAAGAGTAAATTGGATAAACCCATGATCACCCATTCCAAGTTCATTTTTTATGACATGTTATTCAAAACTAAGTTTAAAGTGGTATTGTTCCTAGTTGATTTACTAGATGTTTGTCAAAGAAGTCTGAAAATTAATAGAATTGTGGAAATACTGTTTGGAAAATATTGTCCGGAGGTCATCTAGTCCTGCTTTCCACTGAAGTGGTGGGACTGTTGCCAGCACTAGATGAGGTCAGCTGTGTATTTGTCTAGTCAAGTCTTGAAAACCTCTAAAATGGGAGATTCCACAGCCTTTCTGGATAACCTGCAGTACTGGAACAGTACTGCACTACCCTTCCAGTGATTTAAAGAAAAAAAAAAAAAAAAAAAAAGAAGAAAATTCACGTCCAACCTGAGCCTTTCAAGTTGTATTTATGGCTGTTTTCCCTTGTTATATTGTCTGGAACTACAGAGATGAGTTTGACACTGTCTGTAACTGCCCCTCAAATAGTTGTGGGTAGATACTGGATTGCTCATTAATCTCTTCCTAATTAACCAGACTAATTAAGTTGAACACCTTGTCTGGTGCAAGAAAGACACTGAATGCTGGAGCAAGTCCAGCACAGAGCTACCAGAATATCTACAGGGCTGGAGCACATGATGTGCAAGGAGAGGCTGAAAGGACTACATTTGTTTTGGACTAAGCAGACAAGGCTGAGGGGCTATCTTACTCCTTCCTTCAGGTACCTAGTGAGACGGTGCAGAGAAAACAGTGTGAGACTCACCTTAGAAGAGAGATGATGGTAGATACAAGTTACTCCAAGAGAAATTCAAGTTAAATGTAATGAAAACATTTTTCACAAAGAATGTATTCGAATTCTAGAATATGTTGTCCAGCAAGTTTGTAGAATTGCCATCTCTAGAGATACTGAAAATAAAACTGACAAAGGCCCTGAGCATCCTGATTGGAGTTGTTCCTGCTTTCAGTTGGGGTTTGGATCAGATGACCACCAAAAGTCTCTTCTAATCTACATTATTCTAAGATTCCGACCTCTTCTTGTAGGTCATGTACTCTAGGCCTCTGACTGTCTTATTAGTCCTGTAGTGGCCACCATCCAGTTTATCCACATGCTTCTTGAATTGGCAGCCTCAAATTGCATGCAGTAGTTCAAGTATGCCCTCACAAGTGCCAAGTTGAAGGGGCTAGTAATTTCTCTTTGTCTGTAGGCCATGCTACTCCTAACATAGCCCATGGTTTGCCTTTTGCAAAAGAACATGTCATTGGTTGTCCTGAAACCATAACTCCCAGGTATTTTTCAATATGGCTGTTATTCTCCTGGTGCTTTCCAGTCTGTGCCAGCACACAGAGTTACTCCACCCTCAGTACAGAATTTTGCCTTTTTTTCATTGAGACTTCAGTTGTCATAGTCTTCAATTATCAAGAGCCCTCTGAATTGTGGTTTAGTCATTCATTGTATTAACCACTCTTCTTAATCAAGTATTGTTGGCTATTGCTGACAGTGTATTGTGTCTCCTCATCCAGGTCACTGGTGAAGATACTGAGCAATATTGGCCCTATAAACAATCCCAGGGGTACTTTGCTAGTTACAGGACACCAACTGGACATTGAGCTCAGTTGTCCATCCTGTTTTCAACCCAGCAGGCAGTTCATTCAGTTTGTGCAAGCTCATACTTCCTCAGGTTATCCCAGCTGGGAATAACTGCATTCTACTTGTTGACAGTAGTGATATTTTCAATCTATATCCTATCTCTGTTCCTAAATTTACAAATTCTGTAGTTGTACCTAAATCTGATAATGGAAGTTTCCTGCTGTCAGTTAACCATGGTAGGCCACTAAGCACCCACCCTGGAGAGGGGAGAGAATAAGTAGAACAAAAGCCAGAAAACTCATGGGTTGAGATAATTTTATAAGTGAAGGAAAGAGGAAGAAGAAAGAAAAAACAAACTAACAAGCAACAAGTGATGTAGAGGCACTTGCCACCTCCCACATGTAGACCAAGCCCTAGCCAGTCTCTGAGCTACCCTCCCCAAAATTCCCTTCATTACTGTTTTACTGCTGAGTATGACATTATATGGCATGGCATATACCTTTGGTCATTTTAGGTTAGCTGTTCTTGTGTGTCCCCTCTCTACTTCTTGCAGACCCCCAACCTACTTGCTGGGGTTTGCAGTTAGAAAAAGAGATAATCTTGACACTGTGCAACCTCTACTCAACAGTAGTCAAAACACTGGTGTGTTATCAACACCATTTTAGTCACAAATTCAAAAAACAGCACCATATAAGGTTCTATGAAGAAAATTAAGTCCATCTCAGCCAGACCCAATACAATTAGGCCATGAAATTACCTTTTTTTTCCCCACTGTGGTGTTTTCCCAAGTGATTCTGTTGTATTCATCCTCTCCAATCTTTTTACAGTGTACAGCACTAATATGCAGTACTGCTATGAAATCTTCTTTTGCTATATATTTTTGTTTTTTTGTGTTCCTCAGAAGAAATGGGTTCATCATCTCTGCCAATGAACCCAGCAGTATGGGCTGTAGGATTTTGATAATCCAAGACATGCCATGCTCGCGGGCAAGCAGAATTTCTTAATACACTTATGGAAATGAAGCAATACAAGTGTCTTGGGTCAAATGGCAAGAGTTTCAGTTTGGGGTTCAACACCAGAGTCAGGGACAATCAGTCTGTATCTGAGAAGCTTATGATCTTTTCCTGGTTTTTCTGAAAGTTTATTTAATGCTAACAGTTTACTAACAGTTAACAAGTACTAATTAATGATTTGTGGTACTTAAATCATATTGCAGTAAAAAGACTTCTGAAGGGAGCAATGCATATGCATGTACCAGTTAGACATTCAACTCCCATTATTGGACTTCTAGCTTAGTCATTACTAGATCTGCCTGAAAATTAAGATTTCTGCCTCAGAAAAGCTATTCTTATTTTATTTTGTTGCTAATCTGAAATCATTCAACAATAATTATTATGCACTGCAAAAGTTAGATAAAGTTTTATTGTGGAAATAATGAAGCACTGTGTTTCCAGAATATGCTTCCTGGACCCTCTATCTTAGGAGAAAATTATGGTTTTTTAAGTAACAACAGTAGCAAAATGACCTGAAGATTAATTTTACTGAGTAGCTTTTACATGATAACTAGCTGTGGTTCTAAAGCCAACCTGATTTGCAGACTGCCATTAAGCTGCAGGTCTTGGGAGACCTCCTGGACTTGTAGGCTCTGTGTGCTGGCTCTAGCCGTTTCTTAATTTATGAGATGCTTTCCTAAACTTGTGAATAAAAGTTGCATCTGTCAGTAGAGCTTTCATTGTAGTCCACCAGAATAGTAACCACAACCCTGAGAAACATTCCATTAACATACTTCTCTCCAAGAACCAAGTGCTTCTCATAAATATTTTCTTGTGGTGGTAACCAGTATTCATCTCAGAGCCTCGGTGAGGCTACAGACTCTTTTATCAAACCTTAGGCAAAGAAAAATCTTCACATTCTAGCTGCTTAAAGAGTTTTCACTTTCTCACAAAGTACAACCAAAGATTTTCATTATGCTATTAAATCTCTTTATTCCTTGAATATAACTTAAAAATAGCTCAATAATTGTTTCTCAACAAACTCTCCCACAAGTAGAGTTTCTTCCAGTGTTAGACACTATGGAAACTAGTTAATGTATATTAAAACACAGTTCAGATTTCAGGTCATCTTCCATGAATACTCTATAACTTCTGTTTATAAAGGATTCTCCCTGTTGCAGCTGCAGTAAGAGAAGCCATTTCCAATTCAAACTGAATTTCAGTTTACAGCAGGAGGTCAAAGTTCAGCTTTAAAAGAAGAGAGGGAAATCTTCAAGTTATTCGTAGTAATTTAAACCATGTGAATCTTGTAACTTAATGGAATTCTTGTCTCTATTCATGGAAGTTTACCAATGCTATTTCTGTATACATTAGCATTAAAAATAGATGTATAAACCTCTGACATCTGTTTTGGTTTACTGTGGCCGTACATTAATATTAATGAAATATTTACCATTTTTCTTGTTTGAAATAAAGCACTGAATATATATCAAATCACAAACTCTAGTAAATGTCTTTAGGACTATGAGAAGAGACTGCAAGAGAGGGATGTGATTGACAGCAAAAATTACCTAGATGCACACAGAGCAGTTGTTGCCAACTATCTACAGAAGGTAAGCTGCAAAAAATATGGATCCACCGTATTTCTCTAGGACATATGTTGCATCTATACTTGGATGCTTTATTTCCATGAATACTAAAAACTGATTCATCTCTAAGCATCTCTACAGACATCTTTAAAATTCCAAGTTAGGCCTGAAACTGGTCTAATTGAGCAAGTGGAGATTTATGAATGGCTCATTAAATGTTATTTGAAAAGATGCAATATACAAAATGACCAGCCATTCTGGATTTTTCTAGCAGTTCTCTAAATTTATTTTTTGCTGTGTCCAGAATTTGTCCAGAATTCTACTGTTGTGTCCCAGGTATTCACTGATTTCCCATTCCTCCCTATTTTCCCTCTTGTAAGCTGTGATGCTAAGAAGTTAATTATCTCTATGAAAGTGGCCCTAAACCACTGTTAAAAATCATTTAATGCAATACACAGAGTGTCTTGTGCAGCCTGAGGCATAGGGCATATCTTCCATCACATTACCTTTCTTGTGGTATTAGAGTAACATTTTCTCTCTCTTATCTTGATTTTCTAGTTTGTTCATTCTGCAGGTTGACATTCTCTCTAATACTAAGGGAAAAAAAATATAGGAAAACATTGGTCATATAACCAAGAGAAGTTTGCAATTTCAGACTATTTTGGCAAAATAGCAAGTGCAAAACATGACTACCAGTTTCTTACCAGTCTTGGAAATATCCAAAAGTGTATCAAATCCTAGCCTACCAGCAAAACGTGTAATAAGATTATAAGGTTGATTTAATGTAGGATAAAAAAAATTGTCTGTTAGAAGGAACAGTTTGTAAAAGAATCGTAGACAATGAAGAGTATTTAAATCTTCCGGGCAGATGCCAAAGCCCAGATTCAGTATGATAATATAAAAAACTATTTGTAACAAAGTTGTCATGTCTGTGTCAGCCCCATATGTTTTGCATGGTATTTAAGTGTGTACTCAGACTTATGGTTTATGCAGCACACTGAACAATAGTATAGTAGTACAGAGTAACATACATTATGGTACCTTTATTTGTCACTCTTTCAGATTAAATGCAAGTAACGTTTTTAAAAATAATATTTGGATTCTTTACACTTTTATAAATTGTCAGATTTGCTTGAAAATTAGATTGCTCACATCAGAACTGAAATTCAATTCATTCTGAAATCCAACCTTTATAGGTCTGTCACTTCAACATGAAGATATAAGGATAATAACTTAGATAAAAACTTTGAAAAATAACAAAGGGAGATGTATTGCAGAAAATCATTTGTTATTGCTGTTCTGCAACTGATCTTGTAATAGCACAGTATCTAAAGGCATTACTAGCATTAGTGGTAGGGAAAAAGGACAAAGGCAATACTCCTCTCAGCCTGCTTCCACATAGCTGTGGGGAGAAGAGAGAAAACTTTCATCTCTGTGCTTCAGTCTATGACCTCAGTATAGAAATGAAAGGAACTAAGGATTTTAAACATTTATTTGAAATCACAATATTTGTAATACAGGCTTCATCGATTGTTCTGCAGTCCGAAGTGTTGCTTTTATTCCCCATGACTAATACCATACAGGTTTTTCTACAACCTTTTCTGCAACTTCATTTAGACGTGGAAAAGAGATGTCTGTTAGTGTCATTTATTGTTGTGATAGTTTCTGATGATGAGCAGATAAGACTTCATTTTCTGATGGTATGCTTTCATATGTTCTTATATTTGGCTATCCAATATGTTTCTAGAGAATCATTGTATTTATAAAATGAGCTTATATTATGTTCTGAAGAAATTTCTCATGGAAAGAAAATTTTCCTTGGATCGTGACTCTTTTAAAAAGTGGGGAAAAAATAAAGAATGTACATTTGAACATCTTGTTTGTATTTAATAGCCCAAATGCTAATATTTGCAGTGGGTTTGTATTAGAAATGTACTTTTGCTCTTCTCCCTCCCTGTTCACAGGTTCGAGAATCAGTAATAAACCGTTTCCTCATAGCAAAACACCATTTCCTTCTCTCTGACCTTGTCAATGAAGAGGAGATTCCCAGCCTGGGGTAAGAGAATTATCTTTATTTGTTCTAAATCAAAATAATTAATGTAAAACCATCTCTGATCTTTTTTTGCAAAGTGTATTGATGTAACTAACTGATGCAATTTTGTGTTTAGTATAATATATAAATAATATATAAACTTCCAATCACTATGTACAGACAGTGTATTGACACACAAAGTGCGTAAAAACATTTTTAAGACACAGTCTGGTTTTGGCAGAAGTAATGTGACAGCATGTAAATAAGATTTAGCAGGATATAATGCATCAACCTGTGATCTGATGAGCTGAGCATAGTCCTAGCTGGTGCCAGATTGACGCTTGTGTGATATTTGGAAATCATTCACAGAATCACAGAATCATTAAGGTTGGAAAAGACCTTTGAGATCATCAAGTCCAACCATCAACCCAACACCACCATGCCCACTAAACTATGTCCCGAAGTGCCACATCTACACATTTTTTGAACACTTCCAGTGATGGTGACTCCACCACCTCCCTGCGCAGCCTGTTCCAATGTTTGACCACTCTCTCCGAAAAGAAATTTTTTCTAATATCTAGTCTAAACCTCCCCTGGCACAAGTTGAGGCCATTTCCTCTCGTTCTATCACTAGTTACTTGGGAGAAGAGACCAACACCCTCGTCGCCACAACCCCCTTTCAGATAGTTGTAGAGAGCAATGAGGTCTCCCCTCAGCCTTCCCTTCTCCAGACTGAACTACCCCTGGTTCCCTCAGCTGCTCCTTGTAAGACTTGTTCTCCAGACCCTGGTGGTAACACTACTACTGATTCTATAGGTGATGTTCACTTAGAGTCAGTACATAAGCCAGGCAAATAATGTGCAGTAATTTTTTTTTTTTAACACTTCTCATGTATTTCTGCTTGCTGTTGCTGGACGTCATCACATGCTGTTTACCTTCAGAAATGTTAATGGGTTTGGAAATAATTTCTTTCTTCTTTCAAGATTATTATTTGTTTTATTACTTAAGCACTTTCTTTGAATTTTTGTCCCAAATCCCATACTTGTTGATTTTGACATTTATCAGTCATTACAGCATAGATGACTCTTAATTAATGTCACTCACTTAAAATCTGTGCAAGTAAACAGGTTGTGAAAGATAGTTATTTTTTCTTTTATGTAGAAGTTGCTTGTGTTGACTGTAAATGTGGCACCCTTAAAGTACAGATAAAGCTTTTTCAAATCAGCAGTACAAATCTAGAGTCCCATCTGCTGGAGATACAGAGACTTGCTCTCTTACAAAAGAGTTCATCCTATTTTTTAGTTTGTGTTTTCACAACACAGAATGGAAAAATCTGAATGAGACTATAATCAGCTTTTGTAGTTGTTTAAAATCAAATGCTTCACTGATATTTTCTTATCATTGATAGTAATTCATAGTGGATTCTGTTTGCTAATTTATACGTTTAGTGAATTTAAAATACATCATTATTTGTTTAAAGCATCTACTTAGTGACATATTTCAGTAACTCATGGTTTTGTGTTATTTTAACAGTAATTACTGTGATTTTTTTTATGTATAAGGTAATAATGCCATTGGCTAGCAGTTTTTGAAGTAGATTTTGGAATGTCTGCAGTCAATATCAATGATGTGTAAAAACATACATCTGCTTTTTATTCTTTTCCTGTTTTTTTTTCCTTTGGTTCTGCTTTGCCTTGGGTTATAAGTTCTGAGGGTCCAGGGTATGTTGTGGCATATTCATTCTGCTTCCTTTTTATAGCCTACTCTTTGTTATACATAGCTGTGTAATTAGATTTTTTGCCTATTCCAGACAGTGGTTGTCGTCATCTGCTAGATACCTTGTTTATAGGACTGTAGTTTAGATCTGTCTTGAAGCCGTGTCATTGCCTTATTTGTATCTTACCTAGTCTTGGAAAAAAAAACCCCTTTTTGCACATTTAACTTACAATTTCTGAAATATAAGACAGAACTGGATTGTGTTGTACTAAACAATTAAAACATTTTGACATTTCGGAGAGTTTTGTATGGCACTAACAGGAGCATATATTTCCTTTTTCTGTTGGTGCATAATTTGCATGTGTGTCATGGAAACACTAGAATGGTGGATTCTATGCAAAAATGACTAAATATCTGTTTTATGATTATTAGTATTTTGGGACTCAGCCTTTTTAAACTGGCAGAGCCAAAACGACCATTAAAGCCAAGAAGAAAAGAAAGGAAGAAGGTCACAGCACAGAATTTGTCAGATGGAGACATAAAACTGTTAGTGAACGTCATTAGAGCTTATGATATTCCAGTGAGAAAACCAGCAATGAGGTATGTTTAAATGTCTGTTTCCAGTACATTTTCTGGTTACAGCTGTTTTGAGGACAGCTGAAGCAACTAATGTTGAAATTCAGCCATGTGTGTTGTTTTGATCCTCATGATAAAAACATATATACATTTATCTTTCTGTCAATAGTGATTAAGAACTGCTGTTTTGTAAGTTTGTGGAATAGTGTGATCATTTATCGATAACTGCTAAATTCAATAAATGTTTTACCAAAAACTGTATTTATCTGCTTGAGGAAAAAAACTGTCTGGAAGATAACTTAAATCTTTGACAACATTATAACTCTGGTAATATCAGATGAATTATACCTTAAGCAAGCTTGCTAGTTATACTCAGGGCAATTTTAATTCATATCTTAATTAAATGCCAAAAACAAGTAGTCGAGAAATCCAGTTCTTCATTGTGACATACTATATTTGCCTCCTGAGTATAGCATTTTGGTCTTCTCCTTCATGAACTGTTTGTTTAAGTTAATGGACTGAGCCTAATTTGGCTCTGACTAATTTTAAAGGTGACCATTACCTTCAGGCACATTGAAGCAATGCCTGCACTGCGTGATGCTGTGTCATGTAGAGGTACTTGAGTTCTGAACACTCACATTCAGTTCCAGAAGCAATGTATTAGTGCAGCATTCTTTCTCTCTCCCAAAATGAATACACCTTGCATTTAACTCGGAGGTGTTTTCAAGCTGACCAGTTACCGTGCCTATAGAATTCAGCATCTTCTGCTGTTTTACCTCTTTACTATAACAAAGTTTCTGTTGGATTCCTGTAAATAAGTAAGTTCATACTGAGAAAAGCAATTCACATTAGAAACATGTTGACAGGAAGGAAAAGATGAAAATTTCAATTCATTATCAGTATTACACAAATAACTAAAAAACCTCCCAGCCTTTTTGCATTATATGATATCTTATTTTGCACTGCTTTCTCCATGAATAGTTATTCTTTTATAATCTCTACTGTGGTGTTATTACAAAAGCTATGTGGAAACACTATAAAAATAAACATATTAAAATTTATTTTATTTCACTCATGGGTTACCCATTGTGTAATATTCATATGGGTTTAATTTTGTCATAAAGGCCTTGCCTGGATACCACGAAGTTTACACTGTTTATGAATTCTGTGGGGATTCATCTCCTTAAAATGAAAAACCTGTAGCTCAAGGAGATTGTACAGGCAAGGCAAAAAAAAAGTCTGGGGTTGATAAGCTCTTCAGGAAAGAGAGCCTCCAGGCACAAAGCACTCTTTTGCAATGAGGCTTACAAGATCTATACACTCGGTACCCCTTTCTGGCATTCTTTTCATGTTATTTGATCGAATAAATATCTTTCCAAAGTTGAAGTCATAACATAAAAATATCAGAAGTATTTCCAAAATTCTGTTTGGATAGTACAGAATGTGAGGGATTCATATTTTGTGATGTGTTCTCTGTCTTGTCTTTTTTTTTGTCATTTTTGTTGTCGTCTGTTTCCTGTTGTAGCAAGCTTCAACAACCATCCAAATCTTCAAGGTCCTTTAATGAGATGTTTGCAGCCTCTCCGTCAGCTCAGAGTCCAACTGATAGCCCAGATTGGGCATTCAATCAGGTATATTACAAAACTAACATTTCCTTATGTGAAGTTGGGAGCATTCATCTTTGCCACAGACGGTAACATTTACCATCAGAAAGATATCTTATTCGTGATGTTGGCTTGCCCACTCCTTGATCTCCAAAATGATAGTAAAGCTGCAAAAGGTTCAGAGAAGAGTGATAAGGATGTCAGAAATACAGAATGGCTACTCTACAGTGAAAAATGGCAGGGCTTTTTAGCCAGAATGGCAGTAACTGTGAGTAGGGGAGGAGAAATGCGGTAGAGAGACACAAAATCATGATTAATATAGAGACTGTGGATAGGGATTGACTGTTTACTAGCTCTTTCAGTATAAGGGTGAGGCATTGTCAAACGAAGCCGGTAGGAGTTAGGTTCAAAACAGGGAGAAGGTTGTGATTCTTCATGCAGCAGTTAGTAGGTGCTCAGAGAAGTTGCTTACATGTATTGTGGACTAAAGAGGTTTGCTTGCATTGAAGTGGGTATTGGGCAAGTATTTGGAAGAGTGATCCACTGGGAGTTACTAAACAGAAAAATCTTTGCAGACTTAGGAAAGTCCTTCATCTGAAAATGGGTGAAGCCTGGAAGAGTAATAGGAGAAAATATCATATATACCTGCTTTGTTCTTATTCTTCTGCATGTGTCTGCTGATGGCTATTTTCACAGACTGAATTTTGGGCCTGGTGCACTCTTAGTTTAAACCAGCACAGCCATTCTTATGGCTGATACTGAAACTACGTTTACTTGCTATTGAGAACCAAACTCAGCATCCTTCTGAATAAAGATGGAAGCCCTTCAGGGTTTTCTCCTGTTTTTCTTATGATTTTACTTCGAAATTATTGCTTTTTAAAATGTAGAAAAAGTTTTGCCATATGCATTTGAATGCTAATGAAATGCTTCATTAAGGCATTTTTAATCACATTAGGGTTTTTGTTGTGTCTAGTAGGAGTTGCTTATCTGTAATAGGGACCAGTTTCAGAGAAAAATAGGATTGTAGCAGTAGGCTTCTTGGATTACAGATAAGAGAATACAAGTGTACTTTTTTCCACTGGTGTTGGGATCACATGTTCTGTTTCAGTTGCCTTCTTTGATTAGATAACCAGTAGCTTTCCCACTCCCAGGAGAAAATGTCATTTTGCTGGTGTATATAAATATGTCAAGTATTCTGAATACACATATCTTTTGGAAATTCTAACGTAGAAAATATTTTTAAAAGCTTCATAATGCTTAGAGACTTTGGAAGAGCAATATTTCAGGTGTATTAAAGTTTTATCTGGGCTGGACCAGCCTGAACTCCACAAAGTATATGTTCATTTTTTCTAAATACATGAAAATGTCTAATTTGATATGTTCTCATGAATTTTTATAGAATCGCAGAATGCCACTCCAACAGGTCCATGTCTTTCCTGTGCTGAGGACTCCAGAGCTGGATGCAGCACTCCAGGTGGAGTCTCACCAGAGCGGAGTAGAGGGGAAGAATGACCTCTCTCGACCTGCTGGCCATGCTGCTTTGGATGTTGGCCTTCTGGGCTGTGAGCGCACATTGCCAGCTCATGTCCAGCTTTTCATCCACCAGTACCCCCAAGTCCTTCTCGGCAGGGCTGCTCTCGATCTCTTCACCCCCCGGCCTGTACTGATACTAGGTCATGCAGGACCCTGCTTTTGGCCTTGTTGTTCACACAGGCCCATTCCTCAAATTTCTCCAGGGCCCTCTGGATGGCATCCCAGCCCTCAGGTGTGCCAACCACACCACTCAGCTTGGTGTTATCTGCGAACTTGCTGAGGGTGCACTTGATCCCACTCAATGACCCAATGTCATTGATGAAGAGTACTCATCCCAGTACAGACCCCTGAGGGCTACCACTTGTCATCGATCTCCATCTGGACATTGAGATGTTGACCACTACCCTCTGGATGCAACCATCCAACCAATTCCTCATCCACCTAACAGTCCACCCATCAAATCCATATCTCGCCCATTCAGAGAAAAGGATGTTGTGGGGGACCATGTCAAAGGCTTCGCAGAAGTCCAGACAGACGACATCCATAGCTCTTCACTTGATGTAGTTGTTCCATCACAGAAGGCTTCTAGCTTGGTCAGGCAGGACCTGCCCTTGCTGAAGTCATGCTGGCTGTCTCGAATCACCTCCCTGCCCTCTATGTGCCTTAGCATAGCTGCTAGGAGGATCTCAAGAGCTGTGGGAAGAGAGAATGCCAGTGAAGACTGAGGCAAAGAAGTCGCTGTGCACCTCAGCCTTCTCATCTGTTGTTACCAGTTTGCCAGTCTTGTTCATTGGGGGAGGGGGTACGCTTTCTTTGACCTTCTTTTTCTGGCTGACATGCCTGTAGAAGCCCTTATTATTCTTTGCATCCCTTGCCAAGTTCAGCTCCAGCCGCACCTTGGCTTTCCTGGCCCCATCCCTACACAGCCGGGCAGCGTCCCTGTACTCTTCCCAGGATACCTGTCCCTGCTTCCACTGCCTGTGCATTTCCTTCTTGCCCTTTAGTTTGCCCAGCAGGTCTCAACTCATCCCTGCTGGCCTCTTGCCTTCCTTTCCTGATTTTGTACACCTGGAGATCGAGAGCTCTTGTGCTCTATGGAAAGCATCCTTAAAGATCTGCTAGCTCTGTTCTGCTCCCTTGTCCCCTGAGGGCAGTTTCCCAGGGGATCCTATTGACTAACTCCCTAAAGAGCTGGAATTTTGCTTTCCTAAAATTCAGGATCCTGACTACTCTTTGCTTGCCCCATATCCCTCAGGACTGCGAACTCCACCAGTGCATGATCACTGCAGCCCAAGGCTGCCTCTGATCTTGACATCACTGATCAGCTCACATGCATTGGTGACCAACAGGTCCAGTATGGCATCCCATCTGGTAGGGCTGTCTATTACCTGGTTTAAGAAGTTATTCTCAATGCATTCCGGGGGTCTCCTGGATTGCCTACAGCTCACCATGCTACTTTTCTAGCAGATGTTGGGGTGGCTGAAGTCCACCAGCAGGACAAGAGCCTGCGAGCATGATGCCTTGTGTAGCTGGAGTAAGAAGCCTTTGTCAATGGGCTATAGTTATAGAGGTCTGTTTCCTTTGTTTCAATCTCTATTTATAGGTTTTAGTCCGTCCTTTTGTAGAAGTTTCTTTTCAGCGAACAGTCTGCCGGACAACAACAGCAGAGGGTCCAAACCCCAACTGGAATGAGGAACTTGAGCTTCCATTTAGGTATGACAAAATGAAACCAAATTATTTCTGAGTAATAAAAATTTAATTTGAGCATGCAAATTTATTTCAATTTTCCTGCTCTGTTCAAATCAGGTTTTCGTTTAAACCTTTTCAGAGCTCCTAATGGTGACTACAGCACGCACAGTTTGCAGTCAGTGAAGGATGAAGTCTTCATTAATGTTTTTGATGAAGTACTTCATGATGCTGTAGAGGTGAGTTCATAATTGAAGGACGGTGTAAATTACAGGGTATTTTGGGGGTTTTGAAGTTGACAAAATAAGATTTAAATAACAACAAAATAAGACAAAATAACAGTTTTCATCCTTCTGTGCCTCTTTTTTCTCTATTTTGTCATTCCTTATGATTTTATATCTAGTCAATACTGTAAGAGTGTTAGAGGGAGCAATCTTTATGGTGTTAACCTTTGTCTATACAAATTAAGCTTGTACTATATAATCTGCTGCTAGAGTTGAGCATGTGTATGTAATCTGCTTTCCTGATATTTAATGAAATTGGAGATACTAAAATTGAGAGGCAGCATATGAACTCTAATCTGAATTCTGTTCTTCTTAAACTTAAATCAAAATTTTCTACTAAATTCCAGATGAATGATCCCCATTCCTGTATTTTTTATTAACTATCTTTTTAAGCTCTGTCTCATCCTGTTTTACAAGCTGTTTGGTGGAAAAAAAAAACATTTTTTGGATGTATATATTAATTCTTTGGAATGAGATAAAATTTGCTAGTGCTAGTATCAAGACAATTTGTGTAAGCTCTCAGTGTTGGCATAACTCCTTCCCCTGTTGAAACCAGTGAAAGCTTTCCCAGTCAGTTCAGCATGCACAAAAATAGCAGCACTCAACATCCTTGAACATAGAACTCAAAAATAAATAATGCACACATTTCACTGAGAACAGAACTCTGTCCTCAAAACTGAAATGGTATTTGATGAAGCAGAAGGAAGAAGGATACAGTCTCGGAACTCAGATGTCACTCTAGCGTTTAGAGAAATTTTTTTTTTTTTTTTTTTTAGCTAACTTGTAGGCTGATTGTATTAGATTTGGAAATCCCTGATAGGCAATACACATGAAAACAGTACTTCCATTCCACTTCCATTTTCATACAGTTTTACTTTGAAAAAGCTTTTTTAAACACTGGTAAAATATTTAATTGGAAAACCAGAGCTTAATTTACTTTGTCTGAGAAGCCTCTTGTGGACTCCTTGTCAGATTTTTCAGTTCTCCATCACAGGTTATACAGGACTTGAACCCTGAAGTGCAAGCACATTGTATCATGGACCATGACATTCTTGTACTTGTTCAGCACCTGGCATGCTTGAAAGGCCTGCAGAATAATAATTGCAATACCATTAATTCAACTGATACTATAGTAAATTATTAAAACAATACAGAATTTTTATTAATGCTTTGATTGACTTTTTGAATTAATTAAAGGTAATGAAGTTGTCTCACAAAGCTTTATGTTTGGCAACTATTTAATAGGATGATCGTGAAAGAGGAAGTGAAATCCACACTCATGTTGAGAGACACTGGCTGGGATGTGTTAAGATTCCATTTACGACCATATATTTTCAAGCGAGGGTAAGTATCAATAACTTTGAGTAAATCTCTTAAAATACACAACTGGAGAATGGAAGGAGACAGGTAATGGAACGTCTGATTTAATGATGTTCTCTATACTTGTTAGTTTATTTTTATGGAATTATTTGAAAATGTCTTTGAAACCACTGGCTTGGTTTTTTTTTCAAATTTGGGGAGTATTTGTCAGTAAGTTCAGTGTCTTGAAGGGAGAAGAGAGAGACAAATATACTTCTACACTGACAATGCCACCTCAGTAATGAGGTTAAAAGTGCAAATTCTTTAGATGGTTTTGTCAGTGGCTTTTGAGATCTCTGGTATTGCACAGCTTAGATAGGTGAATTAGGAATAGGAATATCACCTAGATAGTTGATAGGAAACTTGACCTAACTTCTTTTTTCACACTTTTTGTGAATCACCAGATTTTCACCTTTGCCTCTCCCAATCCCTTCTTTCATGCGTTTTTAGAACTTTTCAAGAGAAGCTTTCTTCAAGAGATATCAACAGTTAGTCATGGCAGTAATAGTAAAACATGCAATTCTTACATCAATAGTCCTATCATATTGTAATCTTGCTATAGGATTCTTTTTCTACAGGTCATCTTATCACAAAAGTCTCAGTTTCTTACTTCATGAAGATTCTGACATCAGTTGCATACCTAATGATGCATTAATTTGCTCTTCTCTGGCTATATGGGGAACTACCCAGAACCTTAAGGGCTTTAAGACATACTGTGGGCCTCCTGGATTCTTTAGATGGAGGTTAAGTCTTGTAGGAGTCTCATTTAATGTAAGTAAGTGCAGTTCTTGGGCTCTTTGCTTGCAAGACATAACAGAACATAATTGTCATGGGATTCAAAAAAGCATGGAATTCTTTTCATTGCTGAGAAATTTTGGGCAGTGTATGTCTTACCAGTACTAGTCCACTTGCTTCTGCTAGATCATTACTAATATGCTGTCTTCAGCTTGGGAGGTTAATCAATGAATTTAGGTCCTTGAAGGTTGTGGTGCCCTATAGAGAGCAGCTCTCATTGCCTTAAAGAAGATGTAAGTAGGAAGAAGGTCTAGCCTTCTTTTCATGAGTCTTTGGCTGTCCTGTGCAGACTATGTCACGTAATATGACCACTGTTGTTGTAGGTCAACAAACAAGAAGGAACAAGATCTTTACGCTCTTTAGGGAAATGTTCCATGCTGAATGCGTGAAATTCACCCGAGAAGTGTGTCTGCTCACAGTCCTGAGAGACTTAATGGGCAGACTTAGACATTTTAGCAGACTGCTTACTAATACATAGTGAAGGACACAGCATGTAACCCATCTTTGAGGATTGCCAATACTGATGTCAACCTCCGTTCTTCATGCTTCTTGTTGGCGTACCAATCTTTCTGTTGTAGAACCAGCGTAACTCCAGGATTCCTGTCAGATGCACCCCTGAGCCTCTTTGAAGAGGTGTTGCAGTTTGTGATTCCCTAAGCATAGTACAAGTGCCTGCATACATCTTCCCAGCATCAGAGATTCTTTTCACTTGAATGGGGTTTCTTACTGAATTTGAAAAAGCCTCATCAGTCCAGCAGTTATATCAAGGTGCATCTAGCAATTAAATTTCAGTAGCAAATGAAGCATTTCTTCATCCTGCTCTACTGTAGTGCAACAGAAATTCTGAGTGATTTGTTTAGTTTTCTCCTCGTCAAAACTTAATTTGGTTCTTAATTTTTTTGTTCTTAATCTCTTAATTTTGTTTGATGGCCAGCCCAGTGAGTCATCTGTTCATCTTCCACATCCACTGAAGATGTCCTTCCTGATGGTAGTCATCTGAATTCTGCCCAAATTAGGAGGTTAATCTTCTTGCTTTTCTTTTAAAGCTATGTACTTCTACTATTGAGACTTGCCCAAGCAAGCGTGGGGCATGTCATCTGACCCAACCTTTCAGAAAGGCCTTATCTTCTGTTTGTGGTGGCAGAAGGAGGTGCAAAGGGCTGGTGAGTCTATCAGAGCACTCTTCCATGGGGAAGCTGGCTGAATGGGCCCAGTTCCAGTTGCACCCAAAAAGCATCAGCAGCTTCTGCATGGAAGGTGTCCATCTGTGAGATGCTAGAGCATCTTTCCCATATCACTGAAACATAGGAAAAGGCCTGTTGGTGTGATGCTGCCTTCAGAAGCAGAGTCCTGCAACCTGTATTTGGCCATTTTGTCATTTTTCCAGGTAAATGGTGCCATGTGGAGATTGCCAGCCTTTCATTGTTTTTCTTTGAAACAGCAGTCTCTCTTTCTCTAAGAACTAGTGTGTACGATTTCCATTACATTAAATAGTAGTGTCCGTAATATGCAAGAGAGGCTGAAATCCAAGATGTTTCATGTTTTCCTCACAGTTAATCAGTATGTATGTCATATTCTCTCATTTTATTGCTCTGTAATTCAGAGTAATAAAGAAGTGAAAGGAATAAAATATTTGAATACAAGAAACAAATGTATTTGAGAAGGAGGTTTTTGCTTTTTTGCTTCTAATGAGAAATATTTCTCTGTATATGTTGTAGATTGATGGTACATTTAAGGTGGATATTCCTCCAGTCCTCCTTGGCTACAGCAAAGAAAAGAACCTGGGAGTCGAGAGAGGTTATGATTCTGTGCGAAATATGAGTGAGGGCTCGTATATAACACTGTTTATTACCATTGAACCACAGCTCATTCCTGGAGAGTCAGTCAGAGAAAAGGTAACTAATCAGTAATTCATCATATTCTTGCTTTTTGTTTCCCGTGGTGCAGTTCTTGAGGTGCATATAAATAGGTATGCTTAGTGTACCGAAGGACATGAATACAAGTACAGAATCACATTAATACAAATTCTGAGTGTTCTACTTCAAATATTTTAGCTAAGTTCAATTTAATTGGATGCACCATTAAGTCAGATGAACATTTAATGCATGAGAAATAACTTTCACCAGGTATCTAGTTCCTGTGTTAATAGAAAGCATATTTGCATTCATTATCTGTAAGCATATAATTTTCCTATTTACTTCTGTAAACAATAAAGTATTCATGTGAGTATTTGTGAACAGTGGACAAAAAGGAGGTGGCAGGTGCAAACATAGTATTTTCTTGCTTCTGTGTTTATACTATTCAAATACAGCATTCATTGTTTACAGCTTCATGCATGCCTTCAGATTTGAAGATAATTATTTCTAAACAGCAGCTGTTATTTCTTCAGTTATTTTACTAAAGCCGAAGTGCCTTACCCTAACAGCAACAATATGTAGTTAAAATCTGCAAACAGCTTGCTAGTTTATGTAACATTATGCAGTGATTTTGAGATCCATTCAGCAAGGATGTATCTTTTTCATGCACAAACAGCAGCAAGTTCATTCTTTTCCAATTCAGTGCCACACAGGTCATTTATTAGAGACAAACAGGAACTGGAGAGAAAGGTCTGTCGTTACGTAATTTCTTTTTCAGTAGAAATATAAAACTGTATGATGCATCTAAAAACCTTTTTCCCTTTTAAATTATGGTCTTGGAAATTATCCACTCATATGTTTTCTTGCTCTCATGCAGTACTGTGGGAATTGTTACAGTTTAGTACTGTTGAAAATAAAGATTAATAAAGTTCATGGGTGCCTTCTAAGGTTTATGAATTTGAATAAGATTGTTACTAGGACTCTAAACCATAAATATAAACTTAGCAGCCTTGAAGCATATTTAATAGATGAGACCTTATTCAAGAGTTTCTTGAACAGAGTCTTAATCTTCACATATAGTAATTAGTTACTGGGAAAAAAATGTACTGAATTTGTAAGGAAACATAGCTCTGCTTATAGAAAGACCTGTCTCCAGTACTGTTTTAAAAGAAAATTCATAGAAATTCAAATAATGGGTGAGATTATTGTAAAATATTATGGACTATATATTGCAAATCTTGACCTCTTTAAATAATGAGCAAATGTTCAGAATGTCTTGTGTAGATGCAGTTTGCTGCTTAGTTACCAAAATGTTATGTATTGTATTAATGCATAGTAAAATGGTGGAGTTTGGTAGCTATATTTAGAATTGATTTGAACACTTCAGCCAGGAAAAAACCAGCATATTTTATTAAAGTCATAGATCTTTCTGACATAAGTTGTCTTTCATTTCAAATATGATGGTAGAAGCTAACTGATCCTTGCCAAAACTGAGACATAAAGAACTAGAAAGAGACTGAAGTACCTTCCATTCTGAAGATGCAGCGAAGAATCATAGAACACTAAATCACAAGACGGGAAATAAGTCCTGTTCTAAGTAGCGAGAAATATTGTATGTCAAAGCTTCTCCTCACAAGAAGCCACCCTGAGAAGACAAAGGGCAATGGGTACAAGTTGCACTGGGAGATGTTTTATCTCGATATAAGAAATTTTTTACAATGAGAACCATCATTCATTGGAATGATGTCCCCAGGGACATGGTAGAGTCCCCATCACTGGAAGTTTCAAGATGAGGTTGGACAGGGTGCTGGGTAATCTTATCTGGGGTGCCCTTCCCACAAAGGTTGGACCAGATGGTTTTTCCAGGTCCCTTCCAACTTGGGTTGCTCTATGATTCTATCAAAGCTAAACTGTACCAAAAAGTAATGCATTGCTACTGAAGTGCTTTGAAAGTAAAACCAGGAATAAAAAAATGTTGCTGAGGTAAGAAAACTATTGGTACATAAGATCTGTTTTCTAAAATGTGAAGAACAGTGAAAAAGATAGCTGTGATTAATAAATAGGTAGGAGTTTTGCCAGATATTTGTTCACTCTCTGACTTAAGAGATTTTTCTAAATCTTACAAAAATTTTACGTAGCAGCAGATGATTTGTTTACCTTGGATACTAGGCCAAACGAAATTATTTCTTTAGCAAACATTGTACAAGATTTTCAAATAATCCATTTTTTTCAAAACAATATAAATAGAAAACAATAAAATATAGTTTCACGTTAGAGGAAGCTAAGTAAAGCAAGACCAAATTCATTAAGAGACTGTTCTATTTTAGGTGGTGTGTATCTAATGAAATCTGTACATCAAAACGCTACTAAAGTGACAGGTGTATCTATTCTAACTGTGACTGAAAAAGTTCTAATTTTGTACTGCAACTCCCCAAATGCAACACATATACTTATTATAGAGAGTGTTTGGCATAAAATGACAGAAGCTAACAATATTTTTGCTATCCTTTGTTCCTATTATAGTTAAGTCATTTGAAATACGTGTGTATTGTTCTAGGATGCTAAACTTAACATTAGTTTGATGGTAATACTTTATTTTGTTTCTTTACCTATTTTTCCTCTCTTTCTTGCTGTCCTTCCTGAATCTCTATTTAGATGAATGAAATGCTTAAGAAGGTACACTATTAATAAATTAAATCAGTTGAGTTAAGCTTAATCAGTTGAACTTTTGTTCCCTGTTTAAGATTTTGATTTTTGTGCCATTCAGCAATTTTTTGCACTTTCAGTTACTTGACTCTGACTTAGTAGTTGTTTATTTGTCAGTAATATTTGCAGTGAATTACTACATTTACATGTACAAAGTGCCAGAGGCTGTGTATTTCGGCCGTTAATTATGGTTGAGAAGAATCACTGCTGTGTGCCTGCTCTGCTGACTTGGAGGTCTCGCTGCAGGGCCCTACCCAGCTGTTCCACCTCTGGTTAGTTTGGGAAGAAGGGTAACAAACGAAAAAGTGGTTTATTTTGAAGAAAAACATTATGAAGGATGAGCTTTAATTCTCAGCACCACTGGAAATATATTAGGGATTCTAAGTAGATTAAAAAAAATATTTTGACTGATCATAAGACCTTTACAAGATGACATCTTGGGTGACGTGAGCAAATAATTGTCATTGTTATGTAGTTAATATGTGCTTTTGAGTCCTAGATTTGCTTCTGTAAAATCTCATCTAAAAGTGTTAAAATTTTAGACAAGCCTGAGTTACAAGGATTTGTCTAAAAATTACTTGGACCTTCTCTGCAAATATTTTTGGCATTGTGCAGGGTTATCGCAGTATTTATTCATAGGAAATGAAGTGTGGATTTGCAGTTAACAAACTCTTTGTTAACTTAACCATTGGTTAATGGAATGTGATGTGAATAGCATGTAGGATTAGTACCTAACCGTAACTGTTTACCTTTTGAATTAACATGTGGTGTTACATACTCATCCCTGCAGTTTTACTTGGCCATAACATTCACTACATTTTCAATGCTTTAATAAAGCCAGCTATAGCTACAGGTTATTATGTGCATTCATAAGTAAATGCAAATTGCCTGATTTTCCACTACCTTGATCTTTTTTATATATCTGTGAGCCAAACTATATACTACAAGGCAAGTTCAAAATGCTATTAGGAAATAATTTTGCACTCCTTTTTTGCTCATATAAATGGTGAAATAAGGCCAAACATAGTAAAGACTTAAGCCCAAATTCTAAATAAAACTATTTTTATATAAATTCTACTGTCTTTTGAAGTTTGATACCGAAGAAGATGAGAAATTGCTCCAGGCAGCAGCAAAGTATGAAGCTGAATGTACGTCAAAGTTTCCAAGCCGCCAATGCCTAACAACTGTAATTGACCTCAATGGGAAAACAGTTTTTATTACCAGATATATCAAACCTCTGAATCCACCACAGGAGCTTCTTGATGCTGTCCCAAATAGTTCTCAAACAGCAGCAGTAAGTACTTAGAAAAGATAGTGAATTTTCTGGGATGTAGATTTCAGAATGGGTGTGTTGCATGTGCACGTGCACGCAGGCACATAACATTTTTATGTGTTTGCTGTATAGCTACGCTTTTCATAAAGGAAAAACTGGAGATACAAAATAAAGTTAGTAATGACTGCATGTGATACACAGTAAGTCTATCCATAACGATGCTGGAAAAATGTAATTATCTTCTCTGGAAAAAAAAATAGGTACATTAATGAGTATTGTTCTTTAAAAGACAAAGAATTATGCCAAACCTCGATGGAAATAAATCATATTAGTCTTTGATATAAATTCTAAAATGAGCTGGCTGCTACTGTAGTGAGGTTAGTCAGTGTTTTGTCATTGATATCTCTGGAAACAGCACTATGCTTCACATCTGGTATAATATATCTGTTGTTACATATCTGTGTCATGAATGGAAGGCGTGACCTGCTCTATTTTGTTTTCTTGCAGGAATTGGTGGCTCGATATGTGGCTTTGATTCCTTTTTTGCCAGATAGTGTGTCATTTGCTGGAATTTGTGATTTATGGAGTACATCAGACGTAAGTGATGCACTAAACAGGAGTTCTTTATCCTCTTGAATGTGATGTAACTTCCTAGCAGCCCCTGCTTCTGGGAGGAGTTCGTACTACATGAACTCTTGAGGTCCCTTCAGACCTAAATTATTCTGTGATTCTATTATTGTGAGGACTATTTTTCTTTATAAGCCATTTATTTCAAACCTTGAGAAAAGTTGCTCATCCTGATATGAGCCAAAATTTTTATCCTCGATAGGTTGCAGTTGATTGACTTGAAGAATGCTTAGGGCTTTAAGTTTTTCCTGTTTTTTTTCAGTTATAAAACAATCCAAAATGGCTAGTCATGCACAACTGAAGGGATACTGATTGATCAAGACTTAAAAACAAGACTTAAAATTGGTCATTGCAATTCCAAGGAAGTAGAGAAAAAAACATTGCATGCAACATCAGCAATAATGGGAGATTAGCATTCTTTGTCACATAGAAATAAATCCTGTCATCTATAGAATAACAGCAGACATTAAGTTAATCATAGATGATGTTTTTACCATCTCAGAACTTTTCTGCAAAATTCGGAATAACTCAAAAGACGAAGACTTTGGTTCTTGTGCTAAAATCTTAGATCTGCATCATGGATTTTCACAGCACTCACTCTTCATCCTGCATGGTGAAGCAGTGCCCGATAAACAATAAAGATCAGTCGCAAAGATCTGAGATGACTCTTTTGCTTCAGGAGTGTTAAGAAATATTATTAAATGTTGTAAATTGAAAACACAGTTAATAACTGCATAGAAAGACTTTTTTTTTTTTTTTTTTTTTTTATCTATCTCAATCAGCAATTTCTTTATCTTCTGGCGGGAGATGAGGAAGAACATGCCGTGCTCTTGTGTAATTATTTTCTTGGTATGGGGAAAAAAGCTTGGCTTATCATTGGAAATGCTATTCCTGAGGTAAGAGGATTTTTTTATTTGGTCTGAATATTAACTTTTATTCTCTAAGTCTTTGATTCCCGCCAATGGATAGAACAGTTTCTTGCTGGCATGTTTTTCCAGGAAGTTTAGATATTGGTGCTGCTGGAACTGAGTCTTTCCAGGAGGGGGGGGGGGGGGGGGGAAGAGTTGAAAGTGTATCTTAGTATAAATATAATCTGCTTTTGGTTTTTTTTCTGGACCAATGTTTCCATGCTTAATCTGGTAGTAGCTGTCATCCTCACAGCACAATGCCAAGCATCTGTAAACCTTGATTGGACTTTAGCTTGTATAAATGGTTTGTCCAGGACAAAGGCAATAGAGACAGTCCATGCACAGTGTCAGAGTTGTGAGTACACAGACTGTGACAGAGTTTGGGTGGGATTGGGTAAAGGTTGAGAGGTGGCAGGAGAGGGTTAGGGGCTTGCAAGGGATTCTTACTGGTACGTACACATCCCTTGATTCTCTCTCCAGCTGATGGCAAAGCTGCAGCAAGAGTAATGATGGATCTGTTCAGGCTCGAGCAGTCAATCTTCATCTGCCTTCTGTGGTACAGGCAGGTTAGGCAGTCTGCTTTGCCTTGGGCTGCTGGGTACCCTGTCTTGCTGTGAGGCCACTGTGGCAGCAATCTTAGAACTAAACCATTTAGATTCTCTTGCCCCTTTAGGAGATGCATTTGTTCTCAGGGGAGCACTCAGATTTCTAAGTAACCAATACTGCTCTTTTCAAAGAGATGGCAAGACTGTTTATAATGCATATTTCCACCATTAGTATTTTAAATTACCAAGCACATATGTAAGTTTTGCTGAACAGAATTTTGTTAAAAATCTGTGTCGAGTAGTTTCTTCAGCACATTCTTGGATGCTGCGGGAACAGGTACTCAGGTACATCACTTCCACTCCAAATCTGATGGAGATGGTAGTCCTTAAACAGCATAAAATGAATGGTTTATTATTATTGCAGGTATTTCGAGGTGCCTGGAAAATAGGGGAGATAACAAGACAACAGAAGAGCAGTTTAGGGGTTGCTGATAGAGAATATAAAAAGATAGCTGTGAAATTCCTTATGTGCCTGTACAAGGGAAAGCTGATGATGTGTCATAAAGTGTGCTGCCTTGGGCTGCAGTCCTTCAGCTCAAGGGATTGCCCGTGGATGAGAGCTGTGGCAGTCGCCAAGACAGACTTGCTGATACTGAAATGGCATGCATTAAACATTCCTGTATACGGAATTTCGCATCGGTTCGTAGCTGAACCAAGACGACTTTCAGAATCTGTATGTTAAGAATGGCTTGGGGCTGTGTACGTCCAACATTTCTCTGCCATATGAGAGACACAAAATACATTATTATGTAAGCGTTAGTTGGTTGAATTATAATGAACCTGTAAAATCTTTCACCCAGTTTGCCCCAGAAAGTACTATTAATCTCAATAGTGAAAATTTCATATTCCAAATAATACAAAGCATCCTGTCTTTCTAGGCAGTTTTAAAACATTTTTCTCATACTTTTCTTTCTTCCTAGGGACCAACTGCATATGTATTAACTTTGGAACAAAGTCAGTATGTAATTTGGAATCCCAGTACTGGATGTTTTTATGGGCAGTATGATACTTTCTGCCCCTTACAAAATGTGTACTGTCTGATCAGCTGTGATAACGTAAGTGTACCCAGTCCTGTCACATTTCTATACACATAAAAGCTGATGACTTGATAGTTTTCTTGACCTATGCATCATTTGTTCATCAATGTAACTATATTTATGTTGTCATTATGTTAGTGATTTTATTCAATCTTAAGTAGCTGAAAAACCTACTTTAAATTCTACAAATAAGAAAGATTTTTTTTTTTATCAGTATTTAGGTGGATCATGACATCCATTCATATAATTTTTGTTACTGCGTTTTACTTACATGTTTTCCAACTTGTATGGCCTAAGAATATGTTCAGTTTACCACTGCTTAGTTGAGGATTAGTAATTCAGCAAAGCTAATAGGTGAAATGTAACTGATTTTTGGAAGGAGTCACTAGAACTGCATACATAATGGCAGGCACAGCCCTGAATGGTCCAATGTGCAAAACACAGAGCTGGCATTACAAGGCACAAAATCAGTGTGGGGGTTTTTTGCCTGGCTGTTTGTTTGCTGTAAAATACAGGTAATACTAGTGCCTGCCTGTTCACAATATACCATTCCAATTGTGTAGCTGGAAGCCCTCTGAGAGCGAGCAGGGGGGCAGAGGAGAGAGGAGGCATCACAAGAGCTGTGCAGCTCAGGGCAGGTGAACCAAAGGCCACAGAATAGGGCAGAGCTGAGCCCGTGTTGGGAGGAACAGAAACCCTGGGCAGTTTCTGGCCAGCAGCATGCCCTCACTCAGCTGGAGGCCGACGCTCGCAGCTTCTGGGACAGAAGTGGGGACATGAGGGCGAGGTAGAGAGATGTGTGGAAGTCTGAACCTGAGGAAACAGAAGGCGAGTTTAAAAAAAGAATCGTTAAGATTTAGTTGAATGAAAACTGGAAGTTGAGTTTAAAAATTTGCTCCTGAGTGTTTTGGAAACACTGACTCAGGCTTCTGTTGTGCACCAAAATAGAGCAAACATTTGCCTTCATCTTCTGTACTGAAAACATACCTGGAGAAGTCCTTTGAAGTGTCTTTCATGGAAAGTGTTCTGGGGAGTGGCTGAATGTATTTAGGTTTGGGGTTTTTTTTTTGGCAGTAGTACTAAAAACCTACAGTTAAGAAAAACGTAATGTAATTGTTGATGGCTGGAAGCAGCAACTAAAGACTGGCACTGACAAGCTAATCAGCTAACCTTGAACAGAGCTCAACACCCTTCAGTCTCCCTGTGACTCTGAGCAGGGGTGCTGCCACTTCCTACTCAACAGGGAGAAAAAAAACCTAGCCATGCTGTGTCATATAGGTTGTACACAGAACCATCAGTTGCTAGAGGTTACATATTAATTAGTACATTTACATATTAATTATTGGTACATTTCACAGCCTTAGCAGTAGTTATTTAAAGGTTATTATTTTGAACAAGAAGACTCAATGCTTGTATGCTTCAGGCTATGCTCAAACACAGACCAAACTGAATGTCGATAAAGAAGTGGATTGCAAGACATGCAGTTCCCCTTGATGACAAAATATACATAGAAGCTGAGCATGCATGTGAAGTATCTGCTTGTCTTCTGCATCATAAGCTTGAAATAGCAACTGGTGCTGGGGTCCAACAGGCTACCAGGCATCACAGCCCCAGCTGCACTGTGCTGGGCCGTTGGAAGAATTTTATCAGAATTCAGAAAAAGATGTGTAGTGGTCCAGAGAAGGGGAAAGGCAGCTCAGCAGAAGAAACTCTGGAGTATACTGTAATCCAACACCACATTGCTGCTGAAGGCAGGTTTTTCTGAAAGCATAAAAACTGCCACAGTGCACAGTAGATGAGGCATTGAAAAGGAAATACCAGAGAAAACAAGATTCAGCAGG